ATGAGGCATTGAGGGACATGGTTAGCGGGCATGGTGGGGATGAATTGATGGTTGGACTTGATGAGTCTTGGTTGTCTTTCCAACATTACTGATTCTGTGATTTTATGTTTCTTTTGGGTAAGATGGCTCAGACAAGCACAGAGATGGCAAGTATGAACAAAGGATGTATAAAGGAAAGTTTTATTAACAAAACAAACAAAACAACAGCAACAACAACAAAATGACACTGAGGATGAAGAACTGGAAATTGATGTCAGGAAGAAAAGTGAGCTAAATGTAGTGAGTTTTAAAGTGAAGGAACTGATGCTGGATATCTGGATCTGGATAATGAGAGTTCTCTTTTGGGCCAAAAGAAAAAAAAAGAATGAAAAATAGTTTTGAAGAGTTGGCTTTCTCAGCAAACATGCCTACAGAGCAGTCAGCAAAAGATGGGCTCTAGTTTCCTTCTGTAGAAAGTGGAGATCCTCTCAATGCCACCAGTGATCACGAGGGAGCAATATGAAGCAAAAATATGAAAGCTTCCCTCATGTAGATGCTCTGGATGAATCATACAATCATGGAATCAATGAAGTTGGAAACGACCTCCACCATTATCCAGACCAACCATACACCTACCACCAATATTTCCCCAGTAAACCATGTCTCCTAGTACAACATCTAAATGTTTCTTGAACACAAGAAGTGCACAGGAGAAGACACATTAACTGAGAGCCTAGTGAAGGGCACAGGCTGCTAACAGATGGATGGATCATTGTGAAACCCTTGTTTCCCTATAGGATGTCTGCATTTCATATAATTATAAAATGGCTTGGGTTGGAAGAGATCTCAAGGATCATCAAGTTCCAGCCCCCATGACACAGGCAGGGTTGCCAGCCCCTAGATCATGTGCTTGATTAGATTGCCCAGGGCCCCATCCAACCTGGCCTTAAACACCTCCAGGGATGGGGCATCCACGACCTCTCCTGTTCCAGCATCTCACCTGGAACACCAGCATCACTCATTCTCTCAGTAAAAATCTTCTCCCTGACATAAAAAATAAATCAAGAAAATGGAAAATGTTTTGGTGAGATCTGGGCTCATGGTACTGGCCATAAATAGCATACTAGAACTGTACTAAATAATTTTAGGAGCAACCCCATGCAATATCACATCATCTACATGTTTCATACCTGGGAAACAATAACTCAGTATTTCTGATCCGTCTCCAGTTTTGACTGTGAGATAACATGATGAGATTCCCAAGAAATCATAACTAGACATGTATGGGGCATTATGAAGGAAGCAAAGCAATTAGCTCAGGGCTAAGACCACACAGCCTCTGAGAGATTTCATCCCACACTTTAGCAGAGTCTTCTTGAGTGCATCTCCGGATGCATTCAAGGCCAGGCTGGATGTGGCTCTGGGCAGCCTGGTCTGGTGGTTGGCGACCCTGCACACAGCAGGGGTGGTGCAACAAGATGATCATTGTGGTCCTTTTCAACCCAGGCCATTCTGTGATTCACGATGGCACTTCACTGGGGACTCATTCAGGTATAGCAGTGATGAGGGCTGTAACACTTGTATGAGAGAGAAGGAGACGGGGGGCTCTCATATTGCTGAGACTTCGTTACTTCTGCTACAGCAAAACACGTTTGAGGCATTCTATGAGGAGTTATAAATAAGGAAAATTAAACTAGCAACAATCCAATGAGTGCAGCTCATTTCTTGTGGTGTTTTCACTACAAAAGCTCTCTGACTTGATAACTGGCAAAATTTGGTGATTTGAGGAGTGCATCACTGCTGATATGAGTAATTGGCAAGAGTGGAGGATATTATTTTTAAAGGGTTGACTCATTTGGAAGCATTTAAGGAATAGAATGAAGCGACACACACAAAATTAATCAACAAGAGTCAGCTTTCACATATGCCCTGCTACAGATTAAACTGGATTTTAGCTCCTCTGGAATCTGAACCAACTCCCCTCATAGGGGAAGGCTTAATTTGTTATATCCCAAAGACAAATGGCATAGAATTGTGCCTTTCCTTTATACAGTAGTTGATAATGGGTGCTTTTACTTCCCATCCATGATGTAAAAAACTGCTCTTCCAGCATAGGTGATGCACACTGCAGAGAAAGGACAAAGAGAAATTGATCAAAATTGGCAAGGACCCTTCTGCTTGCTTCCTGCAGCAGGGTCATCTCCGAGCAGGTTGATGTTGTACCCTCACATTTATAATCCTGAGCAGGCACCCAGAGCTGACTGGGCAAGGCTTGTCACAGGCTACAAAATGAGTTGTGTTTGAATTTGAACCCAGAGCCTAGTCCAAGTTCTTAGCTTTTATGCAGCACATCACCTAATGAAATTGCCTTTTTCCCCCCGTTTCAATTAGAAAGAACATTAGGTCAATCAGATAAAGCCACATTGGGAGGATTTCCTCTTTATGGCGCTTGCCTCTTCAATTATCTATAATGAACTTCCTCACAGCACTGCAAAGCTTTTTATATGCAAACGAATCCTGTTTTGGGGCTGCCACAATCACTGCTTGTTAATGAACTTGAAACAAGTGTTATCGGAAAGGTTACAGCACCAGTGGTGGGGGGAATGGGATAAAGCTAAACAAGAAAGACCAGCTTGCAGAGCTGGGATTGGCCTGCAGGTAACATAGTTGACTATCTTCAACTCCCGTCCTCCAGTCCCCTTCAAAGGCTTTTCTATTTGACAGACATCAGGCAAAATGCCCACTCTTGGGACATGGCTGCTCAGCAGCAGATAGGGCTTTCCCATCCTCCTGTCCCACTGATTCACTCTGCCAATGCGTCTCTGTCTCTCAACCACTCTAGCTGGGGGAAGAAAATAATGAAAAAGATGGTGCCAAGGTCTGTTCTTATGCCCAAAGAGAGAAAGGGAGCTAATTTGTAGACCCTGGAACATGTTGGATAGGCAGGATTGTGCAAGAGAAAATGTGCAGGTGTGGAAGATATAAGGTCCCAAAAGGTATTTACATATGGTGTCAGGTGGAGTGATCACAACTGGACATCTCACACTTACTTTAACATAGCCCAGACCACTGGGGTGGTCTTTCCCCTGTCCTCTGGGGTGTTACTGGGCTATATCACATGGGGTCAGGTTATGCCTCACTTCCTTAAGCTGAATAGCTACTTAACCCTGCAGCTAACCTACATAAATGCCTTGATAGGATAAGAGCATTGAACCCAAGGCTAGAAGGACTTTCTACACTGTCCACCATTGTCCTCCTGTTAAGAGAAACACTTCAAGTTCAACTATTGTGTCTCAGCATTAGCAGTTCCCTGGGAATATTTTGTCATGGCGCGGGACAACAGCAAGAGCAGGGAGTGTTGTAACAAGGTGTAGCTCCTCAGGGATTCCTGAGTGTCTCACCAAGCCTCCTTCTCCACTGCTTCTGTCTTGTGTCTTGTGATGGAGCACAAAGTTAGTGAAGTGCTGCACAACACCAGAGCTCCAAGACAACAGAGAAACACTGTGTTAGAACTCATCACTGTGCAACAGATCCAAGATAATTCACCTTCATTATGCTCCAGTGACTGTGTGCTGGGCTGTCCGTGTTCTGATGTTAGCTTGGGCAAGGCAAATTGAAATCCATTGGCAGTTGTCAAGTACTTACACCATTAGCATCCACCAGTAAGCAAAGATAAGAAATCAAGTTGCCCCAGAGCTCTTAAATCCCCGGTAGCAAAGACAGACAGGCACTCTTTGGGCACTGAGGAAGGCTTCCACACTTCATTACAGCTGCGTGTTGGGTGGATGCTGTGGATTTTCTTCCTGCCCCTGGCCACGGATCAGCTCACACCCACAGTGTGATGATTGATATCTCTTGTAATTCTGTTTCTGGTTGGTCTAAGTGCAGATGTTACACGTCTAATCCATTTCTTTATCTTCCTAAGCTGTTTGCTTCAGTAAAATGTTTCCACCATCTGCTCTAACAAGCTCCCAGGCTCTCATAAGCCATAAACTCCATTTCCAAGCCCTTAAATTCCTTTTCTTATTCTTCAGCCCTGGATCAATATTTGTATCTTCTTGTTGTCCACTGTCACAACTACAGGTTAAGCATGTATCTGTTTAGGTAGAAGTTCTCCCTGTCTCTGCTTGTACCAACTGAATCTGACTGGGGTTGCTCTTGGGATGGCGACTATTTAAGGAATCCCATTTTACATAAAAATGACTTGGATTAGCAAGAAAAACACTGTAGTAATTTCCCAAAGGATTGATAGCTTCCAGTGGTCTAATGGTGCCATGAAGAAGCAGTGCTTTGCTGCTGTAACTAAAGCTGTGCAAATTCATCTCACTTTGAATACGGCTTTCTCCATCACAGATTTGGGTGCCCAGCCTGCTACATGGCTGAGTTAACCACATCCACCAAGCACTGAGCCTTTTTGGAAACAATTGCAAATCTTTCCTGGATATCTTCACACATATTAAGTAAGAATCGTTTTTTGGGAAAATAATATAGGTATTATTTTATATATAATAATTTTTCTGTCCCTTTCTAAGCCAAATCAAATTATCTTTTAAATAGCCCAGACTCTGGTTTACAGCGTCATGCTTGAGCTAGCTGGATCTGTGCCTTTTGTGCAATGGCACATTGGTTTTTTTGGTGGAGGCAGGGAGTTTTGCTGTGATTTTGTGATTTCTTCACTTCTTGTGCCGTGGCATCGTGACCAGGCAAAGTCCCTGAAGAGGGCAGAACTGCTTTTCTACTACCTCATTAATGGAGCAGGCATTAAGAAGCACCAGAAGTAGCATTCTTGGGTCATGAAAGTCAAGGGTCTCCAGTGAGAAAAAGGAGATGGGAAAAGTCTGTAAAAGCACTCCTTCCTCACGTGTTTATCTGAGCCTTCTCAGTAATACCCCACGAACCCTTTGTAATAGGCTGAAATGGAGGGAGGAACAACAGCTTTGTAAAAGTGAGAAGATCGAGGACTCCACACAGGTTTGGGAAAATCATGTGTTGACTTATTGCGTGGTATTCTTTCTCCCCAGGACTGCCCACAGCTGCTGCAGGCCGAGAAGATCCTGGTGCCAGTGGAAGTGATCAAACCGATCACGCTGAAAGCCAAAAACCTGCCCCAGCCACAGTCTGGCCAGCGAGGCTATGAATGCATCTTGAACATCCAGGGCAATGAGCAGCGGGTGCCCGCCTTGAGGTTCAACAGCTCCAGTGTGCAGTGCCAGAACACTTCGGTGAGCAAGCCCTGCTGCCTGTGGCATGTCTGGGAGGGCAAAGGAGGACCATGAGTGCTGAAACCTTGTCTGCCCATATACCCAATTCCAGCTAAAGTCAGGGGAAGACTGGTTGGTAGATTGCAAACTACCTCTTTTGCTCCTTAAGTTTGGCTTGCATTAACAAACAGTAGTGCTTCATCCTTGGATATCCCAGCATTTGGCCATGCTGGAGCTCCTTAGCCACAGCCAATATACATTATCTCATGGTTAAATGCCTATACCCTGATAGTGGCACATCCTTATCTGTATTCAAGATGGTTTCTGAAAGGACAAATGTTAAAGTCAACACTGGTAATTAATGTTATAATGAGAAAATTGGTGATAGCCCATAAAAATCCACATAAACAGTTGAACAGGCACCAGCAATGGGTCCAAGATAAGTTTGAGCCAAACCTTCCCCACCCACTGATCCATCCCATGACCTCTGGTTAATCCCTTTAACACCTCCATTTCCCTATCTGCAGTGCAGAGCCACTAAATCTCTTCGCCAGAGCCCTCTGTGAGTCACAGTGGTGCTGTCACTACAGAAATATCAATCCTTGGGGCAAACACTGGCATTGCTGCCAGGAGCTGTGAGTGTGTGTGATGGTGGTCTTATAACACTGCTTCTCCAGAGGTTTCTCCATCAGATTCATGTCTCCTAGATGTGCATTTGAGTCATTCTCATTGCTATTACGAGATGATTTATTAGCCAAAGAGCTAATTACAGGCTTTAGCCACTTCACTGCAGCTCTGCCACTCCATGCTGGGCAGGGTTTGTTAAAATCCATCACAACATATTCTGCTGCATTAAGCAGCGTACTGAAGATTACAGGCAGTTCACACATTTCATGATCTGTTGCAAAAAGCACTGTTCCCAGTGATGTTGTCATATTTGCTCTTTTTTCCCTCTCCTCCCTGATTGTCATTATTGTTTAGTGGCCTGTGAGCATCCAGATTTCCACAGAAATGAAGGGGTTGGGAAATTGAGAAGGCTTTGCACTTTCTTAAAAAATTATTTTTTTTTTTCAAAACAGTGAAACCCTGTGACTGAAGGAAGATTGTATAGACCTGCGAAGAAGTCAGTAGTATAGACCTGTCCAAAAAGTCAGTGCAGCCACCCTTCAGAGTCATTAATTATCTGGCATAAACAGAGTGATTTTAAGTATAATTGGGCTAAGTGAGAGACTGACTGCCTCAACAATCCTAGAGAGTCTCTTTCAGCCTCCTAGTTTGTGTTATTCAATAATTTAACTTGGTTTTGAGACATAATGGTGACCGTTCTCATACTACCTGCACGCTTCAAGAGGCTGCTGGTACCTTGGACCAGAGAATTTGGATTCACTGAATTCCTGGATGTATTTGCTAATGGGATGCCAGAGTGCTGTAACAACATTGTGTTGATTTTTGCATTTGTTTTGCTGCCAGAGCACTCTACTCCTGAGCTGTGCAGCGTGGCAGGACAGAATGTCACACCTATGTCAAAGCAGTCCATGACCTCTCTGATGAGCATTGCCTGTAGTATTCCTGTCCCTTGTTAGATGATGTCTCAAGTAGGCTTCTGTCTTGTCAATGGGGATAATCTTATTTTGGACTAAACTTATCTCTTTATTCTCCTGCATCATCCGTCTTCTTCTCTCTTTCTCCCTTTTCTTCTTTCTTTTCCCTTCTTTTCCCCTTTCTGTTTTCCCCTCTGCTTTCTCCTTCTTCTTCTTTCCCCTATCTGTTTCCTCTCCTCTCCTCTCCTCTCCTCTCCTCTCCTCTCCTCTCCTCTCCTCTCCTCTCCTCTCCTCTCCTCTCCTCTCCTCTCCTCTCCTCTCCTCTCCTCTCCTCTCCTCTCCTCTCCTCTCCTCTCCTCTCCTCTCCTCTCCTCTCCTCTCCTCTCCTCTCCTCTCCTCTCCTCTCCTCTCCTCTCCTCTCCTCTCCTTTTGTAAATGTAATTTGATTTCTCTGACTCAACTGTCTCTTTACTCCCTGAGAAATGTTTTATTGCTGCTCTGAATTTCCTAGACAGTAAAAAAAAAAAGAGAGATGGAAGGGAGAACCAGACAAAAGAAAGAAACATTCACACAGGCACACACACACCAAAAAAAAAAAAAAAAAAAAAAAAAGAGGAACAGTAAAGCCCCAGCTCTGTTTGAGCAGGTAGCCAAGGACACAGACAATAGAGAAGGAGTACTGTGGGTATGTCTCCATCATGATTATTTTCTTTCCTGCCAAAATTAGCATTCAGTCTGGAGCCACTGTGCTGCAGTGAGCCTCTGCTCTGAGGGTCACCTGGCTTTAGAAGCAGACGTATGAGCTTGTTTGCAAATTGAATCAGCCCCCTTCAACAGAGCTTTTTAGTCAGCAGAGTTGCTAGATGAGAACTGAACGTAGCACCTGCATTGCAGGCTTGGAGAAGGTCCAAAGCAGGGTGGGTGGATATGTTGTGATGTTGTGTCCCTGAAGGGATGCTATCCTGCCAGCAGATCTTTTGGAGATGCATGCTAGACTAAGCAATCATTCTTGGCTTGTTTTCCTTCATAAGACTCAAATCTATCCCCTCCCATCACACAGTAGGCACCAATGAGCTCAAATTCAGCTTTTGCAGAATATCTTCTGCAAAATTCAAGAGATTTCCTTTTGGGAGCAGGAAAAAAACCTTTATTTTTGCTCTTGACTGCCCGCTCCCTCAGGACCTAAACCAGGGTAGCAAAGATCAGAACCACATCCTTCCATCTTAAGCAGGAGCTTTTCCAAGTGGCTCCAAGCTCAATTAAGAGGTGTTTTAAAGATACCCAGGTGGGACCAGCTTATCTGATAGTCTGTCGGTAACGTCATATTCAGCACTGATGGTGCCTAGGTGCTTGGTCCAGTCAATAGCCAGCTCTGTATCTTTCCCTGTCTTTCCCAGAGATGTTTCATTTGATAACAGCAGTAAGTCACTGCAGACAGCATGCTTTGGGACAGTTATTGTTCTTGTCAAGTGATTTGAGCCTCTCAGCTCTGGGCTTTGTCCTCTATCACACCACCCAAGGCACACAATTATCACTCAGTGAGACCCTGCCTGCCATTCCTTATTGCACTTATGATAGCTCTGCCGATGTCTGGACACAGAGTGATGGGAGGAAATGAAAAGGAGGAGAGCTAAGGAGGCATATAAATAAGTAAGTAAAAATGTCAGCAGAAATGGCTGGAACTGCTAGATCTATCAGGTCAGAGAACAGTCTCCCCAATGGGAAGCACTAGTAGACTCAGCACTTACAATCAGTCCAATACAGTCAGCAAATTTCAGTGTAAGAAACAGGGAGATTGGTGAGAGATGACCTGCCTGACCATGCCATGATCACTGCTGTTACCAGCTTCAGTGATCTAAGCGTACATGCTTGCTTTGTGTGAGCCTGTCCCTTGTCTGGTCTTGGCACTTACAAGCAGCACAGGCTGATTTCTAGCAGTGGAATACCTGCTGATGATTTGCCCCATAGCCTTTCACAGGTCTGTGTGCTGTGAGACCCAAGGTGGTGCAGCTCAAAATGCTGCATATCTCAGGAGTAGGAAAAGCAAATATGTGATGTAGTTGCACTACAAGATCTCAGAAGTGTTTGACTCTGTGTCATGGCTCACAAAGGAGAGTGAGAAAATAAAAACAAAGACAGAGCTGGGGAAAAAAAATAAAAGAAGAGCACTATTCACAAAAATCATGGGAAAACACACTTATGAGTGGCCGAAGGCAGATGAGAACAGGGACGAGTCATACCTCAAATAGAATATGTAACTTACCAGTCAAGATGTGGACTCGATGTAGTGAGTGATGCAGAAACACAGAGGTTTGATCCTAGCTCTAGTAAGCAAAGAGTCCAAAGAAATGGGATGTCAGTGGGCATGAGGGTTTATGCCTCCTGCTTATGGCTGGAAAATTGATGCCAAGAGGGATTAAATGCTTTGCATGGGGTCACACCAAGATCTGGTAGCAGTGACAGATACAGAATTTAATCCCCAGGCCCCAGATCTAATCATAAAATTGGTCTTTGTGCTGTTAGGGAAAGCAAAGTAACACTCAATAATAAAATGCTGCTTGCTTGCAGATGCTTCCCTGCTGCTGGATATGTCGCAATATATCTGGAGGTACATCATGTAATCACTCTTGGTTTATTCATTAGAATCATAGAGTCATAGGATCATAGAATCATAGAACCACAGAATTTTAGAATCATAGAATGGCTTGTGTTGGAAGGAACCCCAGAGGTCATCCAGTTCCAATACCTCTGCTGTGGGTAGAGTTGCCAGCCTCTAGATCAGGGATTAGATCATGTTGCCCAGGGCTCCATCTGATGTATAGTCCTAAATGTGCCCTAAACAAACTACCAGAAGTCTTTGCTTTATGATATAACATCTCAGGATGAGATGTTACATCCCTATGCATGGCTGTGCAGTCACACAAGCCACAGCTTCACTGGTCTGTGAAACTGAGTTCCTTTAATGTAGGGTGCTTGTTAACTGGATGCCCAGAGGAGCTAGGAATTTGCAGATTACTGAAAAGCAAAACATCTATCTAGGCAGTCAGCTAATGTTTGCATAGCTGTTATAAATCTGATAGCTGTGATTTTTGCAGCTATACTCTCAGCCTGAGGGTAGTAAACTTCATGGTGAACTTCCAGGAGACAAACAGTTGATGTGTTTATAGTGGCTTGTGCTCAAAATGTTAAGCTGCTAACAGAGTGGCAAAGTGGCCAAGTAATGTGATGGGCTCAGCCCTTGTTGTAAGAATATCTGATACCAGCAAAGATTTCAAGAGACAAAGAACTGGTGCTGCAGAGTTAAAAACACAATGTGCTGTTCCTTTGAATTACAACAGCTCCTTCCAGCAGCTTTTTGGTATTTCCTGATGAGATCCAGCCTTCCCTTCTGGAAAGCAGCGTCTCTTTCTCAGTTTGGTCCTCTCAATTCCCTGTAATTTTCTACTTTCATTTGATATGCATATTGGGAAACCAGATTTTGCAGTCTTCAGGATCAGGTTTATATTTTTTGAGCAATTTTGCCCGTGCTGGAGGAAGTTGTGCAAGGCAAAACATAGGAAACAGCCTTAATGATCTGAATGCTCATAGCAGGAGTATCCAGGAATCTCTGCTGTGAGTTCTACAGATGAACACATCAGCCCTTTTTTCTCCTCTGAAATGTATTTACATCTTATTGTTACAGCTGAGCAAATCCTTTTCAAAGGCTCCTCTTGAGTTCAACAGACTTTGAACAGAGACCACAATGAGTTAGAAGCTCCTGTGGTCTGAACAGGTCAGAGCATCTACTCCTTGGTACTTGGCAAATTGCTCTGTTTTGCTGCTGTGCAGCCCACAAGCTATCTGGGCATGGCAACATGAGCATCCTCCTTCCAAGCTCCATCTGGCTTCATCCTTGGATCTCTTCCATGGGGATCTTGCGTATTCCCTCACATCCATTTCCAGTTCTGGCTCAATTCAGCTGAGCTAACAACACTAATATGTGTTTGTACCCAGTGCTATAGGCAGATAAGATCTACAATCCCAGCTGGGCTCCTGCTGTTGGCTTTGGGATCCTAAGTGGGATGAAAGGCTCTGAGGGACTCCCATTGCCTGTCCCTTGGCAGCCCTGCCTATGCTCTGCTAACAGATAAATCCCAGTGCACACACACGAGGATCTGCTGAGACAGAAATTAGTGTTTTTTCAGGCACCTACAGACTCAGCTTGTTACTTAAGGGTGACCAGTCATTCTGTATATGTGCTCCTTCCCATTTCCAGTTGACATTTGCAAAGTGCCATGCACAGGTGTTAGCAAAGCTCCCAAGTGACAGAAGATTAATTATTCTCTATTTTTCAAACGCTTTCCTTCCCACTCCAGCCTTCCTATCCTTGCTCCTAGCTCCATAAAGCTGTGAAAAGGCACCGTTGTGAGTCCAAGTGGCTCTGCATCATCTTGCATCTTCCTGGCAGTGACACTGAGAAGTGTCATAAAAATGCTAATAGTGAATGAGGCTGGCGGATACAGCCCTATCAGGCAGGACTCTGCTAACCTGCAGCAGCTCTTTACTTCCATGGTAACCACAAAGCTTATACCTGTAAATACCCTACAACTAGATCATAATCACAGGGTTCTGCAGTTTAGTGGCTAATCGTGTTTAGTTTGTCCAAAGAGAAATTACTGTGCAACTAGCACTCACTCTGCTGTAATGGACAGAAATCACCATACATGATTTACTCTGCAATTATATGACAATTAGTGGAAACAGAAAAACCTTACCTCTAAATGCTCAGAATTTCCACATTTCTATGGAAAACCATGCTGAGACTTCTAGTGCGGGTGAACTCTTCTGTCTGTGAGACATATCCAGCAAAACCAGGCAGCTTGTTGAAGTGTATTTCATAGAATCATAGAATCTTTCAAGTTGGAAGGGACACTTAAAGTCATCTAGCCCAACTCCCCTGCAATAAACAGGGACCTACAGCTTGAACAGGTTGTTCAGAGCCCTATCCAGCCTGACCTTGAGCATTCACAAGTTTGGGGCATCCACCACCTATCTGGGCAGAAATGTTATGTTTAGTCACATAGAGTGAGAACTTCTCTTTCTGTTTGTGTCCTGCTCCCAGTGCAGTACAATCTCAGGAGAATTCCTTATATTCTGCAGTCAGTATAGCATGACACATTTCTTCCCTTCTTGACTTCTTCCCATTCTGTCCTTTAAGCAGCTGTTGTGACAATGCATCCTCTCCCACTTAGGATGCTTTTTGCCTTTTGGTGAAGTGTTAGAAGGAAGCTGTTGATGGAGATGTGCAGTGGGATCTGATGGGCAACTAAGTGAACCCTATGTGAACCAACTCAGAATAAACCAAAATCTGGCTGGAAAAAAATGCCCTGAATACTGTGTCAGAGAAATCATCAAGTTGGGGGCTGGAAATGGCCTCCAGAGACAAGCATCCATTTTCTTCATTAAGACCAGATCCATGTACCTCAACTGTGCCTGACAAGTATTTGTTTAAGTCTGTCTCACTTTCTTTGAAGATTTCTATGCCTTTTTTAATACATGTTTTCTGGAAACTGGATACCACCTGAACCAGCTGAAGCTTTTCTGGTTCTGGATGGGGAAAAATAATTGCCTCCTGAGGCTTGTGTATATAGGAAACTCTGTCTAGTGCATTTCCAATTGAGATTTGTTTGGTTTTTTTGGCAGCAACATGGCACTGTTGATTCACAATCTGCTTGTGACCTTCAACAGTCCCCAGACCCTTTAATGCAACACTGGCCAGTCACTCCCATTCCACATTTGTTTGCATTGATTTCTCATACCGAAGAATGCTCACTACTTCCCTCTACTGAATTTCAGTTTGTTGATCTTGGCTTGCATCTACGATTTGTCAAGTTTGTTTTGAATTCTTAACTCAGCCTTTGGATGTTCTTGCACCCTCTCCCAGAGCAGAGTCATTCACAAAATCTGTAAGCATGATCTGCAGTCCATCAATGAAGTCAATAGTAAAAACATGGAGTAATGCCAGACCCAGGACTAAACTTCTTTTGAAAAGTCCTCCCAGCCCACAATGAATTTTCTGACTTACTGTTTTCTACATGTACCTTATGGTGGCTTCTTTTAGATTATGTTTCCCCATTTACATATTTATTTATTTTTATGGGAATCTCCTGCAGGACAGTAGCAAATACTCTACAAAAGTCTAGATAAATCACATCTGCTGCCTCCTCTTATCCACAAAGCCATTAAGCCTGTCAAAAAAGGAAATTAAATTGAGTTGACACAATTTGTTCTTGACAAATCTATGCTGGCTGATTTTTATCACCTTATCATCTTGCAGGTGCTTATAAATTGATTGTTTAATAATTTGATGTACTTTCTTTCTGGGAAGCCAAGTTAGGCTGACAGGTCTATAATTACACAGAAGCTCCATTTTCCCCTTTTTAAGGCATTTCTGAGATACTCGAGACTTCACTCAGCTTTCAAGAGCCCTTCAAAATGACACTGGCATAGATAAACATGGATATCTATTCAGCACCTATGGAGTACACAGCAGAGGTATATTTGGATGCTATATCCAAATACATACAATGCATACAAATATCACAGAATCTTGAAATCATAGAATTGCTCAGGTGGGAAAGGACTTTCAAGATCATCAAGTCCAACCTCAACCTAACCATACTACCCTAACTAGCAACCCATTGCTAACCTTAGAGGTGCACCCAAGCATTGGCAGAATATCCTTCAGAACTGTGCTCCACAGCTAGAAAGTACTTTTCCCATCATGTGCATATATGTTTAAAGTACAGAATATTCACCTAGCAGCTAGGATTCACATGTTACTGAGATGGATACAGCTTCCTTCACTGAGAACCACAGCTTTGAGAGCTTCCCCTGGCTTTCTTGGAGGTAATGACAGGTAGGGATCCAGGTGACAGCTCAATTTCTCTTGTTCACAACTCATGGTACCACTTCTTGCCTCCCCTGGAACCCAGCCTTTGGGCGTGAAGTTAACTCTGGGTTCATTTTTTCCTTTTCTTCTAGTATTCGTATGAAGGAATGGAGATTAACAGCCTGCCGGTGGAGCTGACCGTTGTATGGAACGGGAATTTCAACATTGACAACCCAGCACAGAACAAAGGTAAGGAATTATTTCAACTTGTCCTTGGAAGCGGTAACCTTAGCAACGGGCCACATCCCTCCCTACACTTAACAAAGCTGCCACCATCTCCCTGCGCTGTCTGCTGCAGACTTGTTCTCTGCACTCTGCAAATTGCCAATTTTTTTGTGCTTTGTGATTTTTTTTTTCCCTCTGAGAAATACCACTCTTCCTCCCACTTGCATGGCTTTCTCTCATTTTTCATCACCTTTGCATCCTGCTTCTCCCCCTTTTTTTTTTTTTTTTTTGTGTGTGTGTGTGTGTCTTCCTTCCTTACTCCTCCTGCCTTCTCCCCCTGTTTATTTCTCCTGGAGTGATGCTCTTCAATTTAACACACCAGGAAAGTGGGCACTCTTTGCTCATAGGTGAGGTGGTAATGAACAGAGGAAGGGAGAGGGGGAGGAAGCAGGCTGCAGCTTTGTCAGTGGGAAGAGACTGAACAAAACAAAACGTTAACAGCAAAGGACTGACATCTTCCTCCTGCCTGGAGTCTGACTGTTTAATTGCCATGCATGGCACAGAGTTGGTGTGCTTCTCACAGAGGGCTATTGCTTGTCCAACCCTGAGACAATTGTTTTTGCCAGAGATGGGAGGTTCGTTCACATCTTCCTACTTCTTCTTGTCCATCACCCTCAACCACATGGCAGATTTTGCCCCAGATTCCCTCTGCTCTCAGCCTTTGCATTCACAGCTCAGACCTTCAGCCTCTCCTTCTCACACCACCGCCTCTCAGAAGTTTCTCCCTCCCTCACTTTACCTTCCTTTTCCTTGGACACTTTCCACTGCTTCTCCCACTCCTCTCTCCCAGTCACGTACTCCCAAATTCTTTTCATACCATTTCACACACAACCTTGAGCTGAGCCGCGATGGATGAGGTTTCCACCAACACCTCGTTGAAGCTGGAGAGCGATACAGAAGGCAACTCTTCATCCCATATTGTGACTCCTTTCCATCAAAAAATGGCTTGGATTATACCATTATGTTTTGTAGCGGGAGGATACCAGCCAGATACACTTGGCTGTATCACATGGAAGCATAGCACATGCTTTCGTAGACACATAGAACTTTATTTACTAACACAGATGTAGTATTTAAGAATAAGTAAAATCCGCTAGCAGAGCTTTTGAGTAGATTTTCTTCTTTGGAAAATTGAGAGAGATACAGAGGCAGGACAAGTGGCAATATTAATGGGCAATGTTAATGATAGGTGGATAGTTAGATTAGATGATCTGAGAGGTCTTTTCCAACCGTATGATTCAATGATTAGCTTCAGTGTCTTTCTAAGTGAAGTTGCACTAAAGGTACATTGCTTCCAAGATCAACCAAGATGCCACCACTGTTACAGCCAACAACTCACAGGCTGGGCTGGTAGACTGAAAGCCTACATTAAACCAAACATTGTGAGCAGAGCAGTTCAACAAATAAGGAAAGCTCTGTGCCCTAAGAGGCTTGCAGCATGCTGAGGTTGACAGTATTTCACAATTTTTTCTTGCAACCAACCTGGAGAAATAAAAAGTTTCCAAGGTTTCCCCTGCATTGGTCAATACTTGCTGACTTCTGAGAGAATGGGGCATAGGTATAGTGTTTAGAGTGAGAGCTAAAGCTTTCCAGCAAGAAGATTCAAAACCTTTGAGCTTTTGGATTGTGCATGATAATAACCACAGACAAGACTTTAGTCACTTACCGGCATGCCAACACAAAAGTACAAAGGGAAAATCTCATATCTTACAAAGAAAACCACCAACATCCACATAAGTACAGAAATAAACTAATCTGAAAGCCTCAGTTCTGCCATCTTCAGCCTCAGGGAGCAGATTTTTGCTATTAGCACCCTGTGCAACTCAGGCCTCAGTTTACTCAACTGTAAAATAAGGATAAATAGCATGATCTCATTTCATAGTACTGCAAGAATTTTAGGCTTTATTTGGAAAAAAGCTTTGACTGCCTCTAATCACTTATTAGCAGCCCAAAACAGAGCTAAGCACTAATCTTTGCTGTTGGTATTAGAAGGGGATCAACTGAGTACTTCAAAGTATAAAGTAGTCTGAATTTTTGGAGCAGAAGAAGAGGGAAAGGCTGATGGTAAAACTCTGCATTCAGCCTCACATACAGAGCTACTGTGAATTTATTGTTCTCTCTTAGATTTTCTGTTTAGGGGAAAACCTGAGTAGCTTTACGCTCAGTTCTGGGTAGGGTATTCCAGGAAAACTCTTCACATGGAGTTTAGATGGTTGGGTAGAGCAGGTGTAGTAAGCCATTTATAGATGGAGAGCTGGGACTTGTTGAAACATCACTGGATGCCATTCAGACATTCTCAGGAAAAGGGAAGGGCCGAGGCCATGTCACTGGCCAAGTATCTTTCTTCCCAGTGTCTCTCTTGCAGTCCATCATTCTACACTGATGGCTGCATCCCTCCTGCTCTCAGCTTCTACAAACAGGGAGATATTCAAGACCTGTCTGGACACTTTCCTGTGCAACCTACTCTAAGGGGTAGCAAACCCCCTTAGTAGAGGGGTTGGACTATATAATCTCTAGAAGTCCCTTCCAACCCTTACAATTGTGTGATTCAGTGAGATTTTTTGCATGGGAGATGAACTCTGACAATTTGTTTCACTGAGGGTATAAGCATTTTATCCTGTATTATTTATTCCCCTGCATAAGCCCCATCCTGCCTCTGGGATGAGCATCCCAGCCCTCACCTCATTGCTGCCCCTGACATCCCACTGCTCACCCATTCTGTCTGCATCTCTGAAGTCCTCTCTGTTTTCCTGTCCCTGCAGTTCATCTGTACAAGTGTGGGGCCATGCGGGACAGCTGTGGCCTGTGCCTGAAAGCCGACCCGGACTTCGAGTGTGGCTGGTGTGAGGGGCAGAACCAGTGCACGCTGAAGCAGCACTGCCCAGCCCAGGACAGCCAGTGGCTGGAGTTGTCCAGCACCAAAGGCAAATGTACCAACCCCAAGATCACAGATGTAAGTCATGGATCTTCAAGAGCCTGTAGATTCCCTCTTGTACCCTTCCCTTGGTTTATTTTCTTGATTGGTCTTTGGGTTGGTGAGGGGAAGGTCAAGATTGATCTCTGCTGGATCAGGCAAAGTCCCAAGTGACTATGGGGATGAAGGGCTATGGTGTGCTTCAAAAAGAAGCACACAGCTTCAGGTGTGTTTTCTCACCATAGTCAATATGAACGTGAATGATTTGCGCATCACAGTCTCCTAGTGGAAGACCTCAGGGCATCTGAGTGGCCCACATGTGGTTGACAAATCTGACATGCAGCATTCAGGAGACCTGGGCCTTCTAGAGGTGAAGTTGGAGGCGAGAAAAGACACTTGGGGGCATCTCAAGTAGACTATGTGAAGGTTGTCAAAGGAGCACAGCTCTCCTGAAAGGAGCTCTCTGGCCAAACTGGATGAGAGGAGATATTGAGTGATCCCAGAGTGTTTTGAGATTTACTGACAGAACGTCAAAGAAAGAGGGCAGGTTGTAGTTCATGCTTCCTGGTAGTAGAACACAAGCAAAGTCCCTGCCTGGGGAAGAAAGAACTCCACTAACTACAGCAGAATAAAGTTCTTGGGTTTGCCTGGTTGTCTTTGCAAGGTGAAAGATATCCCAACTGATCAATCAAAGCCTTGTACCAAGATCAGCCTTCCCCTTTTGAAGGCTCAAGGAAGAGGCAGGCTCAAGTCAAGACTAAGTGAAACAGTCTAATTAAGTAATAAAAAGAGAGTGAAGGCAATGATGGGTGGACATAACAAAGTTGCAAAGTCCTTTGGAATGTATCCTATTGATTATGCTGATCAGGCCAAAGGAAGAGCTGGGGAAGAGATAGAAAAATAGAAAGAAAATAAAGAGGGGAAACAGAGGAAGAAAGAGACAGCAAGGAGGGGGAATCAGGACTCCAGTCTACAGTGATTTTATCTGCTCTTAGGATGCTTTTGCCATAATGATGGGCATCATTTTCAAGGACATAGGCAGATAGAGTGACAGATATGAGCCATAATAATGGGAAACTGCACCCTTACCAACTGCACCCTGACTTAAGCATTTCTCAGTCACTGTACCTTAATTAAGATGAGTAAACGTGCAGAATGAATAGGGCCTTATTTTGCAACTGAGAATGGTAAGGAAGAAAATGAGATGGGGAAGAAGAGGGGAAAGACACTGAGGAATATCTAGCCTCTTTGGTTATTGTTTAATATGGAACGTAAGGTGGACTCCTTTTCTAGAAACCAAGGAATCAAAGAATCAAAAGGTATGGGTACTATAAATGAACCCTAAACCTGTATCTATGGGTGAAATGGTTTTGTCTATGTCTATGATTTCGTGAGAGCAAACTCTGGGTAGAGTCTTGTTTTATCAGATGCTACTGAAAAGAGCTTCTCTGATTTTGTTTCTGTCCATCTTCCTGTAGTCTGTCACTCTCCAAGTACTCAGTGAGTTGGACTGCCCAAGTGGCATACCAATTATGATGTTTCCAAGGTGGAGGTCTCCACCATGCTTGCATTTGTCTGCAGCTGGTCAATCTGAATGCACTTGAAGCTGTGAAACCAGGCCCAGTGACAGCCAGAATAAATGGTTACTCCTGAAAGTTCACTTCTGAGGCCTTGAAAATTACAGGGAGCTGAGGGGAAAGAAACCTTTATGAATCTTTTAATGTCTCAAACCTTAAGAAAGACTTAAGGTTAAGAAATTTTAGATTGATTAATAGAATTTGGTATTGAGAAGATGACAGATGACCAACTGAAACAGAAGTCCACACCACAAGGACCTTCCCATGCAATAGCACACTGTTCGGAAGGTCCGTCCACATTTCTGTACCATGCTTTGACTCACGTGCGTTACCTACAGTCTCCTTATGAAGTGAAAATCACTCATTCTCCACGTTACAGCTCCAGAAGGAGCATACTTCCATTTCTGCTGGCATTTCCTGCTACAGCTCCCAGAGCTCGAACAGATTATTGCAATATTCGCTCATGAAATATTCCAACTGTCTGGTGCGATCATAAGTAGCTCTTGCAAAGTCTTTTTCTGAGCCATTAGCATGGAAGTAATCTCAAGTGACTGGATATATATTGCAGCTAATGGTACGTCTGGAGAGGTTGGTAAAAGCGTGCATATCCTGGCGAGGAGCCAGGGAAATATCTGTGCAGGCGAGGGAGGAGAAATAACATGTGTCCTCACACTTGCACAAGCACAAGCACGTGGCAACCCAGAGCACAGCTTCCCACAGCCTGTATTTATTTCCTGGCTCCGGCATTTATATTGCCACTAAGTGAAATTAAAAGGCTTACAGATTCGTTCAGCCACAGAACCTTCTGTAGGACTGACAATTCAGGGCCTGGATGGATGGGGCTTTGAGCAGCCTGGTCTGGTGGGAGGTATCCCTGCCTATAGCAGGGGGTTGGAACTTGATGATCTGAAGGTCCCTTCCAAACCCGAACCATTCTGTGATTTGCTTGGTATTAGCCAAGGGCGTAAATTGTGATGAAGTGTCGTAGCTCTGGGTCTTAAAGAGAAAGCTGAGGCTTCTTGGCAGCTTTCACATCCCTGCTTGTGTTTCCCTCTGCAAAAACTGGCAGGTCTCTTTCCAGATTTTTGCACCTACGATAGAAACAGGCTCCTTCTCTCTTTCTGTGAAAACATTGCAGTAGCAACTTCTTGTTGTAGGCATCTGAAGGAGTACGATGAGTCAGGCTTAAAGATTTCCTGCACCCATTTGGGGGAATTCCAGTTCCCCCTGCTTTAAGGAACTGAGTTGGCTTTGAAGTTAGCCTTCAAAAAAAGGGAGACGTAGGTTAGATAAAAGGAAAAGGGTGTGTTTTTTTTTTAAGACAAGGGTGGAGTGAGGCTCTGGAACAGGTTGCCCAGAGATGTAGTGGATGCCCCATCCCTGGAGACATCTAAGGTCAGGCTGGATGGGGCTCTGAGTACCTGATTGAATGATAGGTGTCTGTTAATTGAAGGGAAGTTGGAGCAGATGAGCCTTAAGGGTCTCTACCAGCTCAAACAATTCTATGATTCTATAAAAATGTAAATATTGCATTGTTATAAGGGGGATTTTCAGAGCTAGCTTCAATCTAGGAAGATTCCTATTTGAGTTACTGTAAGTTTTTTAAATTCTCAGGCTTTAGTCAGAGCCAGAAGGAGGATCATGATGTTTCCATTGAGTTTCTGAGACTTTTGTCTCAAACTCTCCCATAGTTTTAAAAAATGAGGGACTTTTCTGACAAGATGTTCCTTTTCACCACTGCTATTCTGTGTAGTAACAGTAGTTATACCACCGAAGAAACCTCTTTTTACCTGCTATGAGATACATCTACATACTAGCAAGTTCTTTTGAAGATAAGTGAGCCCTAATTAACCACAGACCTACCTATCTGGACACCTGCCTTGCTAGAACAAGTGAAAACTACTTAACAGCAAGTTTAATGCCACAAAATGATAGCAAAATATTCCATAGGGACCTGACTTTTCTTACAGGAAAAAAAAAAAAAAGAGTTGAATATGTAAGGAAATATAATAGAAAGTGGAAATTGTGATTTAATTTTCCCTTTTCACTTTTTGTACATATTAGATTGGTTTGGTATGGTGATAATGCGAGCCTTTCAGCAACATTCACAGAAAGAGTTTTATTTTATCAGGAGAGGATTAACCGATGTTGGCAAAATGATTATTTAAAATACAAAACTTGCCTTGAATAGATATTTATTAGTGATTCAGAATCAAAATAGTTTAGAATTGCTATTTTTGGAAGATTGTTTAAGTTTTCATTGCGGAGCCCCCAGCTAAGTACATCAGGATTAGTTTCTTAGAATATAAATTCTATTTTAATTTTAATTTTTTAAGATACATTCCTTGTGTTCCTTTTTTTTGTTGTTTTTTTATTTTATTTTTAGGGAAGATAACCACTTTCTCACTTTCTAACCATTGTCTGTCATCCAAGGGTGAAATCTTCAGCCAACCCAAATAAATCTCATGTCAGTTTCATGAATGTTGTACTATTTTGATTTTAGGACTTAAGTGTCATGTTGACTTGTAGAGCAGGAAAAAACTTTCTACAGCTCTGATGGAATTTGGCCATTTTTTGGACCTGAAATGGTTGCCCGACCTGATTAGAGCCTATCTTCTTCAGTGCAGGACTGAAGTTGCTGTGGCACTGGGACATCAGAAATAATCAGGGCCTATCACTGCAAGTATCAGACTGGGGTGCAGCATGGAGACAACAGGAATGTAAATTCCAACTCTGGCTATTTGGAATTGCTGCACCTTGCTGTAGCAGAACCCCTCTCTGTCTCTCATCTGGCTGAAAAGACTTTGCTCAATTTCACTTTACACTAAAGTTTCTTCTCACAGTTTCCTACCTGGGCCACTGTAGGGAACTTGTGCTGCAGAATTTATGTCGACACCAGAGTAACCTATAGTCCTTGTATGTGATCATCTGTGCTATTAAATTATTTATGATTGTAAGCTCCCAGTGTAGTCAAAGCAAAGACAGTCATCAAGGAAGTGGTTTGTGGTGTCTAATATTAAACAGTCACAAACAGTATCTCCTAAGGGTGCCAAAGCCTTTCACTGTTAAAGATGTACCTGGAAAGATACTGGAGCAGGCTGTCCAGACTAGCTGTGGATGCCCCATGCCTGAAATGTTTAAGGCCAGGTTGGGTGAGACTTAGGACAATCTGATCTAGTGGAAGATCTATATGTTTTTTGTCCTGCTTTCAACAGGAGAGTTGAAACTAAATGATCTTTAAGGCTCCTCCCAACCCAAACTGTTCTATGATTCTCTGATTTTATGACCTGAAAATTGGCCTCTCAGTCAAAATTAAGCTAACTCTGGTGCCAGACTCATGGCTGGGAAGCAGTCAAGAGCAGCCCTGCTCATGCCAGTCCCTCTACTTTGCCTGCCAGTCAGATTGCTTTGGAAGGATCTAGCTGCCAGCCCAGGATTCCCAGTTGTCAGAGCCATTGGCCAAAGGGTATGGGCCTGAGAAAGGGAATTCCCCTTTCCTCACTGCACAGATAGCCTTGCCAAGATTGGCAGATGGCAGCCATGACATCCTGAATGGGCAGCAGGGAATACCATTAGAAGGCCCTTTCAGCCGTCCAGTCATATGGCAAAACATTTGGACGCAGTAAATAATTAGAAGGGCAGAACTGAGATAACTAAGAGTCAGCCCCCTAATTTCCATGCTGTTTCAGTGTTGAGTAGGTGTCTTCAAAGCTAATTTTCACCTACTTCTGAACAAGCGTGATGGATGCAATGCAGAGTGCTCTCCCCTTTACACATTCCCTCTGCATGGACCAGAAATACTGCATGGTGATTGATAGCTTTGAGTGAAGTTCTACAATGGGAGAGAAGAGAGTACTGAAACTCAGAGGGTGCTTTGGCTCTGCTGCCCAACAGAGCTGCTGCTGAATGAGATGCAGCAATCCTACCCTCCTAAGGTCTAGTAAAGGTCAAGACTGTGGTGCAAATGTCATGTCACCAAACACCAGAAGCACTGGGACATCCATTCATTTCAGACCTCCCAGCCAATAGTCCACCACCCTATGAACAAGCCATCCATGCTCCCATTGTTGCCTTTCCACTGGACCCTGCTCTCCCATGAAGGTAGCTGGAGAACTTCTGGAGATATGTATTGGTGTATAGCAACTACTGCTATTGCTTCTGTCACTGGCAGTCTACTCTGCACCTAATCTGACACTGTTTCTGTTGTTGTGTCTTGGATGCTATTTATGCAGATGGACATATTCAGCTGAGTTCATGAGGCATACCTGATAGCACCCTCCAGAACAGATCAAAAACTTGAACTTTGGGCTGGGAATTCACATCATAAACTGACTGGCTAAAGCAACTTATTTCTTGTTCTTTCTCTCATTTATTTGCACCATGGTCCACTCCTGCTTTTTCGTAGTTTATGTCTATAAAATGCAGAACTCAGTGGCATTGCAGCATTGGAAGCCCTTCCTTCTACCTGGAAGACATCTCCTATCCCTCTCTATGTGTTTTGCAAGTAGCTGGAAGAAAGAGAAATGATATCAGAGGCAGAATTTTGGATAGTCTGAGGTTGGATCATATGTAAAATACAGTATATTTGCTAGGGAGATGGACCCAGTGATGTATCTGGAGTAGTTTGATTACTTCAGTTGACGAGTATTTATGAGCATCTTTAGTGGTGACAAAAAGGTCTCATACTGCCTCATAGGATGATGTTGTATTTACAAAGGTAAATTATTCTCTTTTTTCCTGACTTGTTTCTCCAGATCAACCCAGTGACAGGCCCTCGTGAAGGAGGGACTAAGGTTACCATCCGTGGGGAGAACCTGGGGCTGGAATTCAGAGACATTGCATCTCATGTTAAAGTGGCTGGAGTGGAGTGCAAACCACTGGTGGAAGGGTACATCCCAGCAGAGCAGTAAGTTGGGTGTGTGGCAGACAGTGGGCCACAGAACATCTAATACTGATTATTGCTACCTGTGTGGTCTTTGAGGAGTCCATTCCCTCTAGCCTCCCTAGAGTCCAAAGAAGATGCCACTCCTCACTAACAGCTCAGGTGCTAATAATGCATTTATTAGTGTATTTGGTATATTTTGTGTGATCATCATTGGAGTATGGCATAAAATTATCTATTTTTCAAATAGCAGCCACCACAACGGTGTTCAAATGCAGTCTGTGAGGCCACAACTCCAAGAAGCAGCTTTCTCCATGCAGGAATGGTCATTAAGCCCTATAGATGCAAAGGTGTCCACCGTGCAAGACTGGAGGGCAGAGGAACTCCTGGGGCCAGATCTCTGTCCAGTATTTGTCTACATAATTAAGTGATGGTATGGTGGTTTGCAACAGCCCAACAGCCAACCATCTGCTTCACTGAGTAGAAATAAAGAAATAAAGAAATAAAGCCACAATTTATTAAAAAAAAGAATGACTTAGTGCACAATTTGGATCCTGGACTGGAAAGCAACAGAGAATGTGATAAGTCTACAGTCCATTTCCCAAGAACACAGATTGTGTGCTCTGATTTCATCTCACCCAGTTTGCATAACCATCCTTAAACCTTTGCCTCTGTTTCCTGTTTTCTCCACAGGATAGTATGTGAGATGGGGGAGGCCAAGCCCAGCCAGCACGCTGGATTTGTGGAGATCTGTGTGGCTGAGTGCAAACCAGAGTTCATGGCCAGGTCTTCACAGCTCTACTACTTTATGGTAAGGTCCTGCAAGAAGATCTCCTGGGCCCTGAAGATCCTCAGACCCTGGTCCACTTCTCAGTGTCTGTTCTCTGACCAAACTCCATCTCTGTGCTCTTCACATCCTGAGTACACTTGTTCCTTCCATTTCCTTTCAAAATCATTTTTATGAGCAAAAATAGCTCTCTTAATTAATGTTTTAACAGTCTATTAATAGTCCAGATTATTAGTCCAGCTTCAGTTTGATACAGCCATGGTCCAAAATAGTACAGAACATCTTCATTAATAGTTAAAAATGCTATGTAGAAAAGTAAAAAGGAAGAGAAGAGAGAAGAAAAAAGAAGAAAGAGAAGAAAAAGGAAAAGGAAAAGGAAAAGGAAAAGGAAAAGGAAAAGGAAAAGGAAAAGGAAAAGGAAAAGGAAAAGGAAAAGGAAAAGGAAAAGGAAAAGGAAAAATAGTAGTAGGTTGTCTGGCATCAGCTGTGTGCATAGACTGCACTCAGAAAGCAGACATATCTTTTTGGAGATATTGCTTGGACTCACAGATGGGTGTGATGCACTGTCTGTTGTGGACATCAGTATGCAAAGCAGTTGGAAGGGCTCTGGGCTCTTTTTTTGCACCACCATGGTGGAGGAAGTTCAGCCTGAAACTGTGGCTTTGCCATAGTGAAAACCTCATGGAAGAGAGAAGCAGAGCCCAGTGCATGCTGCACATTCAACTTGGATTTCTGCTCCTTCCTCCCCTTTTCTGCTCGCTTTTTGTGTCCAAGAGAACTCCTTATTTCTGTAAGGCTCCTTGCTGGGGATATGCAAGCATTGCCTAGCCTTGATCAGTTCAGGTCTGTGCAGGTCTGAGATGAGAGGATCTCTTTGTTCCCATCAAAAGCTCTCAACCCCTGCAAGGGAATGAGTCTTTTCTGAAATAATTCACATGCCTGAGCATTTGTTCATGGCAAAGAGAACTGGTAATGAATTCAAATATCTTAGATTTCCGCCTTGAACTGCAGTGATCTCTGTATTTTCCAGTGTCACTCAGGTGTTACTGTGATGTGGGGAGCATAGAAATACTTCAAGAAGTGGCCCCCACCTCACTGACAGAAGGGCTCTTTCCAGGACATTACACTTCAGCATGTCACCTTTGCTGCTCTTGAAATTACTGTCTGATGTTGATCATCCGTGTCCATCTGTGACAGCTTTTCCCTCCACTTGCTGGCTTTCTGGCTGCCAACTATCCCAGCCGTGCACAAGCGTGAAGTCTGCAGGGTTTTCTCAGCTGCATACCTTGATACCTTTGTGCTAGACAGAAAAAAACAACGATGCTCCCCAGCCTGCCCATCATATGCCCTCTCCCGTGTCCATTGCTTTCATAGTGGGAGGTGTTCATTAGCATGGCTTGGCTTCCTCTGATATTTCTGCCAAGAGGGTAGAGATGTTGTTACACACATCGCAACATGCCTTGGCGTCCTGCAGTGGTGGGTGGCAGCTTTCAAGAAAGGAAGATGTTTAAAAACCAACGATGGGCATCACCTGGGAGTTAAGTGCTGCTACCAGACACACAGCAAATCCTTTGGAAAATTGCTTTTGCAAAAGGTTTGAAGCAAAACAAGGTCAAATTTGGCCAATAGGTTCCGCCTTCCTCTCTCCTGTGAGAAATGGAACAGCTGATTATTTGTACCCAGCAGAATATTTTATTTCAGTGTTTAGAAAAAGAGGCAGCTTAATTTAGAGATGATAGAGCAGCTTTTCTCAACACTTGTAAGCAGAACTTTTAAGTTTAAAATGCTGTTAATTTGTTTTTTCAAACTGGTCTGTGATCAAAAATGCAAATTGTGTTAGAGAGTTCAATAAGCCAAAAGAGAAACAAAGCATTTGGTTGCATGCTGAAATGGTATTTATGATGAGCTAAATGATTTTTTTTTAATTCATTTTATTGCTGTGATTAATTCCATTGTCTTTCAATCCATTACCTTCATTCTTTTCAATTCGGACACAGGAGTTTGCCTTTATTTTGGCTCAGTGTGATTTGGGTTGCTCTGTCTGTGTCTATTCTGGCTCTCTGTTTCAGGAGAGCATTTTGGACAGGCTCAGAGAGGGCTGTGTACTGCCTTTCCAGCTGTTGCTATTGAACCAATAGAAAGGATAGCTGGGTGCATGAACTGTGTGGGTCACATGTTTCTATGCCCTTATTCCAAGATCAGTGATGTGGGAGCCAAGGTCTCAACGTACACCATGAAGTCAGTTCAGACACAGCTCTCGTGGCAACTTCTCTGTGGATAGTTTATGCCAAGGAGGTGCTAGAAGAAAGTAGAAGGTTCCACAGCAGAGGAAAGTAGTCAAGACTCCAGATAAATACAGATGACTGGGAGTTGGACTTGCTGACCTCTAAGGGTCCCTTCCAACTCAAACCATTCTATTATTCCATGATTTTCTGGCCTCCTCCTTCCTTTACTGTCACTTTTCACCTCAGCCTATCACAGATCCAATAGACCTCCATGCATTTTCCATCAACTTTCACCAGAATGGAAACGGTAAACAGTCTGGAGGCTGATTTTTACTGCAGACGTGCTGTGCAGTATTTATGAAGGCCACGGTGAATAATTAATGGATTATTGCAATTTGGAAAGATTAGCCATAAAACCTTTTGTGAGATCGGCACGAAATGCATCAACACTTTGCCAAGAAGCATCGCTGGTATAATTTCACTATGCAAGAACCCTCAGTGGGGCATAAACATTTATTATCCTCTGGGGAAAGGGGCAGAAATGCCTGTCCATCAAGGACTGGGAGAAGGGGTTCAGATCTTTAACTCAAATGTCATTATCTGGTTTGTAAAGCATCCAGTATTGCACCAAATGGGCGACTTTCAACACATTTTCTCACAGGTGGGAAGTAGTCTCCCAATATCCATTTCATGGGCAGCAGTACTTGGCGTTGATTCTGTGACTATCAATAAGGAATTGAAGAGGCGTTGCCATCACAGCATGAGGCAGTACCCTCAAAATAGAGAAGCCCTTTATACTGAAGACCCTTCCTGCATCTTATATCCCAATAAAAGCTATTAGAGAATAGTCACAGTAATGTAAAAGGAACAGAGCATTTATTTGTTCTTTTTCTCTTCTTACACATCTTCCCAACCTTCAGCAATTGATAGATAAGGGACTTCTTGAGGCAAAATAGTTTCCAAAACACCGTATCAGAAACAGACAGGTGTAAATGCAAGAGGTGTCCATCTCTACTGATACATTTTCTACTGGGCTGTAAGTCTGATTTTCACATTCAGCTCTTCCTCCAGGCAGCAGCTTCATTTTGAACAAAAGCAAAGAAGAAACCATGCTGCTGTTTTTCAAAATGGTTAACCAGAAGGACACAGGGAGAGCTGTGTGTGTGTGAAAGAGGGAGCTATGGTGTGTGTCAGGCATTTTATAAACAGGGATTAATGGTCTCCAAAGCTCAATAAAGTGACTCTATGTTGTACCTGCTCATTCAGAGGAGCTGAGGAGAGCTTCAAGCATTTGTGTCATCATTCTTAAAGAGAGGGGAAAAAAAAAAATCTTCATTTAAATGCATATAGTGGCTTTTCACTTGGGACTGAGTGGAAAGTTTTTCTATTAAAATGCAAATGAAAGAATAAACTGTAACTCCAAGTTTCTCCCTGAAAATGGATGTCTCCTTTCTGCATTATGGCAATAGGGTGATCTGTGCTTTCCGAGTTCGAGTATTTTATCTTGCTTTTGGGAAGAATGGAGTTGGAGGGCAAGAAAAAGGTTTCAGATTTGAGGCTCCTTAAGGAATGGTGCCCTTCTTTTAATATATTAACATTAATATTATATTAATATAATAATTGTGTAACGTTGTGTTATGGTTGGAAGAGAGACTCAAACAAGCAGGAAACTGAGAAAAAAATATTCATCTGCACAGCATTCTTTCTCGTGGCTGAATTATTTCAGAGAACACCTTAACATGAGTGATGCTGCATTGTATCAGTGCAGGACATGCATGCCATATGAGATTGTTTCAGCATCAACATCTGATAAAAGAGAAATGTTTGGGTTCATGTGGTGGGCCTGCAAGAGTCAAAACACATGTTCAGATTCTCTGAGAGTCACAGCTCTCCTCCTTCCCACAGAAAAGAGCTGTGAGCACAGGGGGAGATTTTAAGTGTCCTCCTGAGCTGCACAGCAGGACCTCTTTCTTTGGTAGATCAATGAACTTCAGAGTAATCTTTTCAAGACACAATAGTTTTCAATGCTTGTGAGCTCCCTGAGTTTTCTCTGGGGGCAAAGAGTCCTTGTTGAGATCCAGTAAGACAATTCAAGACCCAGTTTATCTTGCAGAAATGTTGTTGGAAAAAAAGTTCCTGAGTTGTATCAAATAGTGGAGATAAGAGAGGTCATGGCTGCAGTTGCCCCAGGCATGGAGATGAGGAAGCTCAGAGCATTTCTGAATGGTACAAGGGCAGGCCTTATTCTGCAGGGATTTTGAAATTAGCCTTAGGTCTTGAGTTCATCTTAGCCAAGCTGTCATTCAAGCAGTGGTGGAGTCACCATCCCTGAAGGTGTTCAAGAGAAGTATGGATTTGGCACTGAGGCACATGTCTAGTGGACATGGTGGGGATGAGTTGATGGTTTAAACAGATTACCTTAGAGTTCTTTTTCAACTTTAATCATTCTATTTTTTCAACTTTAATGATTCTGTTAAGGAGACACTCCAGTCTCCTCTTCTACCAGGAAAATATTGGTGTCTTCTGAAGTCCACCTAACGTAGATAAACTTTTGGGGTTGCCTACATTTCCCTAGCACTGTAGGTACCTCTGCTCATCTCCTGTGCTCTCAACATGACTCTTTGCTTTCACAGACTCTGACACTCTCTGATCTCAAGCCGAAGCGGGGACCTGTATCGGGTGGCACTCAGGTGACAATTACGGGTAATAACCTCAACGCAGGCAGCAACGTCATTGTGACCTTTGGGCGACAACCATGCCTCTTCTACAGGTACAGATGAGTCCTTCCTTCCTTACATACCTGAAAGATGTAAGCAATCATGGTCAAGAGACTTCTGCAGCCCAGACAACCTGTCCTTCTAGTAATTCTTGGCAGAACATCTGTTCTGCAGTGGGACCTTTGCATTCTTCCCCAGCACAACCTTACTGAGTACATTGTGGGGTGGGAGAATAGGACTTATTTCATTGTTTTGATTGCTATTTGATGTGCTTTTTCCATGGCTCCTTGTCAAATTTCACTACAATTCTCCACGGTCCCATGCTTTGCTACTTGTTTTGAGAGTATGTAATTTAAAAGATTCATTTTGACGTCCCTACTTTAGAAAAAGCAAAAACGAAAATCTGACAACATCAGTTATAAGCATTAAAACACCTCCCTTTTATCCAAGAATAGTCCCATAGTGCTGAGAAACAGATGACTTGTAGCATTTTCGCTCAGGATTGGCTCCTATTCAATTGCAGTTCAGAGGCTTAATGTCAGTGTTACCTGCTGAATGTTCCCTGATCCCTGTGAGAATGAGCCTAAATCCAGTTCCCAGGGGCTCCTGCAGCTCAAAACTGCTAAGTGCAATGCATTTTGCTGCCAGTATTGGTGGAAGCTGAAGACAAAGTTGGCACATTTCTCCCAGCTTGTCTTTGCCAGAAGACGGGCCCAATGGGAAGCTGGGACTACTGTCCTGGGGCAGGATGTTTCCATCTCCTGGCTGTTGGGATCCTGCTTAGCTGCCTGTCATGACTGAGGCGTGATTTAACATCTATAATGCACGAAGGTGAAGTCACAGCTTGTAATTTAAAAGGCCAAATGGGAACCACACTGCTTGGGGTTACTTACAGAACAGACTAGGGAGTTTTAGAAGGGATTCAGCATGGTTTTCAGGGAAATTTAAAGAGCACTTGAAGAGTACGTTTGAGGTACATGCCATGCTACAAGGGAAGAATGAACTCCATTTTATCTTTCTAGGGATATGAGATGAGGCCGTGCCACAAATCACAGGGCTGGGAAGGCTGAAGGTGGTAGAAGCTTGGATTTTTGGCTCTTTACTGAAGGCAATGCAATGCCACTGCAATATGCAGTCCTGGAGTTGTATTTGAGCCTTGCCCAAAAGGAAACATTTACCCAGAATCCATTTTAAGTAAAATCATGAAATGCTTCCCACTACATTAGCACTTCCCATACAAAGGTCCTAGGCATGTTGCAAGTGGCATTTAAACAAGGCTTACAGTCCTTAATGCAAAGTAAACTTTATTATCCTGGACTGGAAAGCTGAGGTGCAAACACTCCCTTTTATGAGCTGCTGCTGAACATGCCTGCAGGCAGGAAGGAAATATCCGTCACGTGTTTAATCGCTCAGAAGTATTTCTGCAGCGAGGTCTGTTTTGGACTTCCCTTGAGGTTTGTGTTTTGAGATCTGAGCAATAGTGGCTTGTGTAGTTTTACTTAAACTGGTGGAAAGGCAATGCCACTTCCCGTGATGAATTTGTCACACAATACTCAGTATATTCCTGCAGCAGCGAGTTCCACCACTTCATAGTTAATAGGTTAAGATCACAGAACATAGGAGTATGTAACTGGGTTCTTACTGGTTTGCTTCTTGCAGATCCTCCTTTATATTTACTTACTTCTTCTCACAGGAGATCCACCAAGCACATTGTCTGTAACACCACAGCCTCAGATGAAGGCTTTGAGAAAGTAAAAGTGTCTGTGAGAGTGGACAAGGCCAAAATACATCAGGAGCTGCAGTATGAATATGTGGAAGATCCAACCATCCTGAGGATTGAGCCTGAGTGGAGCATCTTCAGGTAATCATCCCATGGGCACATCACACCAGTTCCTTTAATCTTTTGTTGCAGCACTGGTACATTTGTGTTGGTCCCCGATACTTAAAAGTGCTTTCCAAGCATCATGTTCACTAGAAAACACATATTTATCTAACTCATTCACAGGGCCCAAGAACCATGAGAGCTGGTGGACTTGCCTCCTGGGGAGACATTAAATGCCAGGAATGTTCTGTGTAGCCTCTACAGCATGTTGGATGCTCAGAGTGTACCTGTAGCCATGTATACCCCTAGGACAACATTTCCAAAGAACCTAGTGAGGGATGGGCAGGAGCCACACTTATTCTCCAAACTGACTCAGTGTAGCCCAAGGCTGAATGAACCTTCATAAGTAGAGCACAGCTTCCTCTCTTCATGCAGCAAAATCCAGCTGCAGTTGCTCACCAGAATCTTGTCTCAGTGTCTCCTGTACCCAAATGCTACCTATCCAAGTGATATTACATTTTATTGGGTCTATTGTATTCCTAAAGACTTTGATTCTTACCTTTTCTGGTCATAGCTGTGTTTTGGGTTCCACTGAGCTAAGTCTACACCTTTTCATGGTCCATTGGTCATGACTGTGCTTAGAAAAGAGAATAGTACTCAGGTTTTAAAGCACTTCATTTACAACCTTCATATGTTTGTTGGTTTAGGACTAAGTATTCACAGAATCATAGAATGGCTTGGATTGGAAGGATCCAAGTATCAAGGATCATCAAGACCCAACCCGCATGCCTCATGCAGGGCCACCAACCTCCGCATTTAATACCAGACCGGGCTGCTCAGGGCCCAATCCAACCTGGCCTTGAACACCTCCAGGGATGGGGCATCCACAGCCTCTTTGGGCAGCCTGTTCCAGCATGTCAACACTCTCTCTGTAAAGAACTTTCCCCTGATATCCAACCTAAATCTTCCCTCCCTATTCCTTGTTTGGCTGTCATGCTTGAAAGCTCCAGAGCCATCTCCTGAGAAAAAACACAAAGAAAGCCCTAGTCCCTACCCTACTGGAGGGCCTTCCTCCTTGTTAGGTACTCTTTTGCTCTTCAGCCCATTGCTGCTGCTTTGGTGAATTTGGAAGGTTCATCTGAAAATGCCTGAGAGGAGCATTTGTCTTAGTTGTGGAAGCGAGAAAACGAGACCCAAATGCACTCAGAATCTTGCAGAAATGGTCTCAGGAAGAGAGAAATTGGTTATTAGATGTGCTGGTATTTCCTCGAAAAGATACAAAATAAGAAATCTCAGTATTCCTTCATTCATACACTGCAGCTCTCTGCTCTCCTGTCAAGCAGGATTGATTGGAGTATCTAGGGATTAGGAGCAGGACTCATAAATCCCTTCAGTTCAGCTTCCCTCCAGAAGATGTTTTCACAAATCAATTAGTGCCTTTAATTACCGTGAGGGAATTTACCGATTTAGCTGGATTGAATCTTTACACATCGAGCTTGAAGCTTTCGCATCTGGATTTTCCATTTTGAGGTTTTATTTTCAGTCAGAGTTCAGGTTATCAGTAAAATGAGAAATCACTTTAGTCCTTTCCTTATTAAAGTGAGTTTAGGACTGGTTAAAGGGTGCAAGATTGACAGCCAAGGAGAGTGAATTCCTCTGTTATCCCCAGGAAAGTTACAGAATAGGGCCCTTCCTTCATCTGGCTTCAGGCTGGGGGATGAAAGAAGATCTCCAGAGTCTTTTGCTCCTTGGTTTCTCTTCTGAAGCTCCCAGCAAGAGACAAAATGTAGCCAAGGAGAGGCTTGAGGTAAACTGGCAAAGTTTTTGTTTGGCTATGGGGTGCAGAGACTCTATCCCATTTCCCAAATGAATCTCCTGTCCTCTCTCCCAGCATAAAACATATCAATGTGTGTTTATTTCATGGGTGCTACCTTACTTTCAGGGTGTGTAGCTGATAGATTGGATGACTGAGGGTCTATCTGTCTCATCAGTAAGGTACAGCCTCTAATTTTGATTTCCTTTGATATCTCTAAAATCAGAAAGCATCCACTTGATTGGTAGTGACAAATTTTAACCAGATCTACTCACCCCACCTCTGCCTTCATGCCCTTTCTTTTACACCTTTGAATCACTCCAAAAGGTTGTAATCTCGGAGGACAACACAGTGTCTGAAATTACATCTGTGGTTTCAGAGTGTCTGGGATCTTTTATGGACTATCACTGTTAATCTGTGCAGCTCTGCCCTGCAGGTTGTAATGGAGGCAATTAGGGTAAAACAGGCTCAGAGAGCTGGTTGAACACAGTCCCAACTCAAGTACAGAGAGTCAAACATATGGATCTGGGGATAGACTGAGTAGGCTCTTCCTTGCTATATCTGTTATGCAGTATGATTCATTGCAGCAAATGCACTGTGCTTTGATTCATGACTCCTAGTTGAGGGACTAAACCGTTTTGAGGGACAGATGATTGCTGCTAAACTAACATTGCAAAATTAGCAAATGAAGGTACCCAGACTGGCTTAAAGCCTTCTCAAGTGCCATTTTCCAAGACAACAAAGAAAAGATTATGGATGATTTATTACTGTAGTCAAAAAATAATGATAAAAAAAAGACTCAATCTAAACAGGCAGGTAACTAGAATGTTGTAAGCCGCTATTAATACTTTTAATTGGGATTTGAATTATGTCCAGAAAATATATAGATCTGCAGAATAAAAAGCTTTGGGGCCAAAGAAGAGTTAAATTAAGAAAGCTCCTGGTGTTCACACCTCTAAATTTTTGATGGTGAGCAGTATCTGTCACTATTCTGATCTGATCTGGGCAAGAAGTGTCTGCAGCTGAAGGCAACGGACAGCAGTTCTCACAAAAAAAACAAGTAACAGTTGAATTTGCTTGATTTGCAAGCTAGACTGAACCTTTAGGTGGGTTTGTGTCTTTAGTGGATATGACTGTGAGGGTGGGTAGTGATAAGACAAGGAGGAATGGTTTTAAACTGAGACAGGGGAGGTTTAGATCAGATATTAGGAGGAAGTTTTCCACTCAGATGGTGGTGACACACTGGAACAGGTTGCCCAAGGAGGCTGTGGATGCCCCATCCCTGCAGGCATTGAAGGCCAGGCTGGATGTGGCTCTGGGCAGCCTGGTCTGGTGGTTGGCAACCCTGCACATAGCAGGGGCTTGAAACTAGATGATCATTGTGGTCCTTTTCAACCCAGGCCATTTTATGATTCTGTAATAAGGATTCTATGACTATTTTGGCTTTACTTTTGCAGAGGATAGACTCCTCTGACCCACCACTCTTACTGTGCTTATAAACTGTGGTCTGAACCTTCTAAACTCAATTTCCAAAACAAATACAGAATTTTTAACACATGGGTTTAAAACTGTATGCACAGACGTGGTTGATTAAATAAAAGGCTTTATTTATACATACACACACTCATATATGTATATATTTATATATGCACATGAATTTGATATGTCTGGAACACATTAAATTGTTGAGCAAATATGTGAAATCTCTTCTAGTTTGAGTCAGCAGAGATTCATAACAATAATACATGATGATAAAAATAATAAAAGCCCATAGCCAAAAATCCACATGAAATAAGATAATGGATAAAGAAAAACTTGTTTTGTGAATTTATCTTCTGGTTACTGAAAAGCAAGGTCTCTGTGGATGATGTCAAGGATATCTAAGTTGTAAATGAATTTTGGGGAGAAGGTATTTTTTCTATAAGGAAAGGATGGGAAAGTTCTCTTATAAGTGAATGTGTGACTTCAGAAGAAATCCTCTGTGTGATCAAGAGAGCTCAGCCATTCAAACAGACCTCACAGAAATGACAAAATATACACTTCCCCATGGGAAATTTCTCTTTACTGATGGATAGTGAGAACTCTGCAAAGCTCACAGCCAGATGTGGTTCATACAGGCATTGCTTGAAAGACTATAAGGAACCTCTCAGTGAAGAGTCACAGAAGCACCTGCAGAAAGATGCTGCGTGACAGCACTCGTTGGTAGAGCTCATGGCTTCACCATCACCTATTGCTAAAGACTTGGTGTTTGTGGTCAAAAGAATGGTCACATAAGTGTCTCCATGTCTTGGAAAGTTGGCAAAAACTTTTTTTATGGCAGTGGGGTAGCCTTCCTTGTGCCATTCTTCCTGTGCCTATTCTTAAGATGAGTCTAGATTTACAGGCTTCTTGAGCAAAGTTATATTTAAACTAGTAAATACTAATTCAGGTCTGTTTTTGGTCCAGAAGCCAGCAAGTAGAGATACCCCTCATCCTTACCATCAAATAATCTTTCTTTCTTGAAAGGCAGAATAGCTTCATCCATTCTGTTTATTGGAAGTATTCTCTGGTCCTTGCTATACCACAAACCATGACCAGATATTGCCTAGGAAAGTGTTAAGACAATTTAAATTAAGCCAGTGTGCAGCTTATAAAAGCATTAATGGTCACCAGCCAATGTATGACTGATGTCCTGGCCCTGTTGGTTATCAGTCTGAAATTAGCTAGAGGGGCTGAAGAACAGGCTGGAACAGGCTGCCCAGGGTGGTGGTGGAATTGCTGTCACTGGAGGTGTTCAAGAATAGGGTAGATGTGGCACTGAGGGACATGGTTTAGTGGTGTGATGGTGATGGGTCGGTGGTTGCATTAGGTGATCTTAGTGGTTTCTCCAACCTTAATGATTCTATGGTTCTATGATTTAGTCCCAGCTAGCTGCATCCAGCTCTCTGAAACCTGATAGCTGCACTGCTGAGCAGAGGTGCATGTTGGCATTCATTTTTACATGCCCTATGTGATTAATAATGGAATACACAATAGAGGAACTTGGAAAACAAAGATTAGAACTAGGGGAGATCTGTGGGCCAGCTCAGGCATCTTCCTTGCAGTTTATCTATTCTCTGGTGTTTTCTCCAGTCTCACTTATAATGCACTTTTTTCACCTTTCATCGTGCAGAGGTTTACCTAGAAGCTGGAAATGGATTCTAGGCTTTCTTTTCCCCATCTCATATAAATACAACAGATTTCTGCATGTATTTCCTTCCGATTCTCAGTAAAGAAAGAGCTCCAGGAAATAAATTGAAGCCTGGAAAGTTTCCAAGGAGGGTTGCAGAGGCAGGTGTCAAAACTGATGAGAGTGCTCCTCCTCCCTGGGAAATCTTCAGCTCTGCAGCAGAGGCTGGGCTGTCCATTGATGACATTTCCTCATTCTGTCTTGGATGCTGGAGTCCTGACAGCTGAAGTTTTCACTTTCTCAGATAGCTCTTCCCCCTTCTGCCCTTGCACCCTATTGCCCCTTCTACAGGCACTCGTGATGAAAAGGGAGAGCCTATCTGGCTGAGCAGTGATTGATTTGAGTTGGCCAAACCTTATGGTGAACCCTTCCCCTCAATGCAGAGCTCAAAGACAACCCAGATCCATTCCTTTGCAGTTTTCTTCCTCCCTCTCCTGAAAGTCCCCTAAAAGTGGTGTTGACTGCAGATGGAAGAGGCAAGGGAATGGAAAGAAGAGTGTTTCAGAGAGCTCTTTCCTTCTGGTGACATTAATTACATGGAATGAGAAGGTCTCCATTTGTCTTTTCTTCTTAAGCTGGCCTGAGAGATGTTACAAAAGCAGTAAAATCTACCAAAGGCGGGGTTGTGGCTTGTATGAATGAGTTCTCTCAGGACATGAAACCTTGGCTGAGCAAAAGGACACAATGACTACAAATCTCTATTCTACACCATGGTGTAGAGTGCTGATTCTACACCATTTGCAGACCGTATCTGCTTAGGTCACCCAATGGAAACCAAGTCTGAACACATCGGCTCTGTTTCTTCTCAGTGTTATAGATCAGGGCTCCCTGGCAGAAATGAATTAGGTGGTTCACTGAGGTGACATTGCTTTATTCAGAATGATGCTTTCTATAACACGTTTAATATTCAAGACAAATGCAGAATGCAAATAAGATAGCACTGGATCCTCGAGAGTTGCTTACACAAGACAGATGTTTTGAGGGTTTCTTAAAATCACAACTTTACACATTATAGAATAGTCTGTGGACCATTCTGAAAAGCTTCTTTTAGATTTTCTGCTCTTCTCACCACCAAAGTTTGTAGCTATTTAGTCCTAACAGAAAAGATCACCCAGATGCTGCTTGATGGAACAATTTGTGGAAGCATGCAGTTTTACATATTTTTCCCCAAATGAATGAATTAAAAAGTCTTGTTTGTTTTGTTTGCCTTCCTTTGGTACCATAAGATGTGGTCAGACACTTTGCAAACAACATTTAGGAATACAAGTCACCCACTACTGGTCCATTCAGTCAGGTATGTATTAACTGGTTTTATGCTCTTCTTTTGTTTCTTTTTTCTCTAGTGGCAACACACCCATTGCAGTGTGGGGAACTCACCTAGACCTGATCCAGAACCCTCAGATCCGGGCAAAGCATGGTGGAAAGGAACATGTCAATGTGAGTATTGGTACTAACCTGCAACTGCAGGAGAAGACATATCCCAGGTGGTGATAGAGGCTGCCTAACAGCTGTGGAGACTGAAACCTCTTTCTGCATTCAGAGAAGAGGGTATGATTTCTTTTAAGAAAGGCACGAGATGGCCAATTAATAGAGTCATGGAATGGCTTATGTTGGAAGGGACGTTAAAGACCCCATGCCATGGTTTGCCACCTGCTTGATCAGAGCCCTGTTCAACTTGACCTTGGGCTCCTAACACCTCCAGGGATGGAGCATCCACATCTTCTCTGGGCAACCTGTTTCAGTGCCTCACCACTCTCTGCATAGAGAATTTCTGCTGCAGTCCAAGCTGTCGTACCCGGTCTCAAATTCCTGGTAGGAATGGGTTATGTTTTGATGAAATGGATCACCAGCTTGTCTCTTGGTAGCAAAATTTTTCTGCTCCTCAGTGTCCTCTGTGAGTAGATGAGCATGTCATCGAAAAATATCAGCCTACCAGTAGAGCTGAAGACATTTTCCATAAACTCTTCTTGTGTTGGGTTTCTCTCTCCAGAACTGTGAGGTGCAGAACAGCACAGAGATGACCTGCCAGGCTCCTGCGCTGGCTGTTGACCCCAATCACCAATCTGAGCTAGCTGAGCGTCCAGAGGAGTTTGGCTTCATTCTCGACAATGTGCAATCCTTGCTGATCCTCAACAAAACCAATTTCACCTACTATCCAAACCCTATCTTTGAAGTTTTCAATCCCTCAGGGATCTTGGAGTTGAAGCCAGGAAGTCCAATCATACTGAAGGTGAGATGGGGACCAAGAATTGGATAAGGATGGTCAGACACATGCTGCTTATTGCCATTTCGTGTCTGCCAACAACCCGCTAAATGTAGTGGCATCCCAACATTGTCCCAGAGATTTCCTCCACTCATTAAACCTGTCATATTGCATCACATCAATCACCATTTGCGAACATCACACCACTCACTGCTCTGCATCTCCCAGTACCCATAACTAAAAAATGTAAACTGCTTTAGCATCTTGTTTGCTGCCTAAATTTGCATCCAATGCTGTTTGCTGTACCCCAGCCTATTTCTTGTCTTTTAGACACTTTTCTTTCACCCTTGGGAAAATCCCACATCAGTCCTCCATCACATCTTTAACCTGAATAGTAACACAAAGAACAAATTATATGCTTGAACATTTCCATATCAGCAGTTGTATGAGATTCATATGCAAATAAATGAGCATGCATGCAGAATACCTGCTTGCACGTTTGGAAATATGTTTAAGTACTACCTGATCATTTTCTGCTTGTGGAAGATTTGTGTGGAGTTTGAGGGAAAGAAACAGGACAGGCAGCTTTGACTGATAATAGTCTGTATTCATGCTGTCTTTTGTAGGATTTTTGAGCAGCTTTTACTTACTAAGTAAGTGAGTTGTGAACTATGAATGCCAAGTGCAATGTTAACACTGGAGTAATAGAAGCAGAGATGGAAGGAAAACTCCTTTGCAATACATTTTTTTGAGTCATGATACTGCTTTCTACCCAGGGCAAGAACCTGATCCCACCAGTGGCAGGAGGGAATGCCAAGCTGAACTACACGGTTCTGGTTGGTGAGAAGCCCTGTGTGGTGACTGTATCAGATGTGCAATTATTGTGCGAGTCCCCAAACCTCACTGGGAGGCACAAGGTGATGGTAAGTGATGCTTGAAACTCAGCCTTTCTTCCATGGATTTGGTGGAAGGGTACAGCAATGTGTTTCCTTCACCATTTGCCTTCTGTAGCATCTAGAAATATCAGAGCCCCTTCTCAATGCAATACCCCTGTCAGTCAATCCTGGAAGAGTAACTTGGAGATTTTTGCAGACAGTGGGGTACCTTTTGGAATCATAAAACTTTAGGATGATTTTTCTCTTTCTTTGTGCAGCCGGTGTGAACCCCAGATGCTCATATGAATTCTTACTTGTAACTTATTCCCCACGTGACAAACTGCGTTAAATGTATCAGTTTCCAGCAATTTAGCAACATACTGATGGCTAAAATTTGTGCAGGATGTGGACTGTGGTGTGACTTCGAGATTTTGACATCTATACAACTTAGTATGATCTTGCATATCCTTCCTGGAACCTGTGGAAAAAGAACCTAGTGATTACATCAGAAGGAGCTTCCTTCTCTCTCCACTGATTTATTCACTCCTTTACTTTCCTCTCAGTAATTTGCATGCCTCAGTGCTCTTGCTTGATAAACAGCACACCAGCAAACTCAGTCTGAGTTGTGCAGAGCTGTGGGTGGAAGCAAGACGTAGCTGACAGCAGACATACAGATGATCAATGCTTCTCGTTGCCCGCGATCAACTTTTTTCCAGCTCTCTGTTGCCCTCCCAAATCTCATACATACTTATTTAATTCAATGTAAGGAGATTTGCGAGTTTCATGGAGAGACAATGCCTTCCTCTTTAAAACAAGAGGGATTGTCTTTTAGAGAATTGAGAGTTTGTGGTGACTGTATGAGTCCCATTTGTGACTGCTGCTTGGATCCCTCATATTGGCTACTTTACTTTTCTGTTCTGAATTTTGTCATATGGAAAATAGAGGTGATAATCCCTTTCAGTCATGCACATATGCTGTGGCTCTCAGTTCATTGTAAAGCACTTTAATACAGTCCAAGAAGAAAAATAACAAACATGAGATTTTCTCTGTGTAAATATGAAAGCTTTGGAACAGAGCAATATATGTTGCCTGTAATTTTCATGAATTTCATTAAACATATGTTTAGTCAGAGAGGGACAAAAATGATCCTAGAGAGATAAAACTCAAAGTCAGGTGAGCAATTATCAACTCGTGGGGATCAGGGAGGATGAACATCTGGCCAGGCCTTGCTAATTGAGAAGACTCCTCTGTTCCCACAGCTTGGGACAGCCTAAGAGAAACCTCAGAGAAAGAAATAATCCGTTTTTGAGGACACTGATCAAACAAGAGATACTGTTGGAAAAAATGAGAAGGTGATTGCATTGAAGCCTATTGATGAGCATCTCTGTTAGGGGCAATGGCAGATTTCCTTGTCTAAAGCCAGCAATCAGGCAAGCCTTTGACAGGATCTGGGCTGGGAACCAAACACAGAAGCTCAGCTGTGATGGAGGCCAGTGCCCAAGGATGGACTTTGCATCTGTAACTTACCAGGGGGACAGCTGGGCTTGGAAATGCCTCCTCCAACATGTCACAGCAGCTCTGTTGCCCATGTTTCACAGGGATGTCACTCTGATGGTTTGGATAACTGACAGGTAGTTCTCTCAGGTCCTTCCCCTGCTTCTGATGATGATTTCCTGTGTGACCTTGAGCTAACTGCTGAGCAAAGTCTTTCCTGCAAAGTGAAGTGGTCTAGATCTGAGAGGAGACCACGGCTCTGAACACTGTGATTATTTCAAAGGGAAGGAAGAGTGACAGTGACACATGTAGGTGTCAGCATATTTTTGCTCTACTTTAACTTTCTTTTATGCAATCACCGAGTTACATGCTTGAAAAAATATATATTAATTAAAGAAAAAACCAACACGGGCACACAAAAAGGGCAGAGCAGTGGTTGATAAAGACAGCTTAAAGCCTAGGGAGAAGCTCTTTTTCAAGTGAAAGAAACATTGACAAGGAAGTGTAACCATGGTAGAGAAGGCCTGCGATGTAGAGATGGAGGACATGAGGACTGCTCATATTCACTGTATGCATTTACAGATAGAAAGTTACATCGATGTCTTCCTATAGTAAATGGAGAGATGGTCAAGTGTACTCTTATATTCAGAGCACAGTTCACGTCACTCAAAGCCAGACACATTTTGTTAATGCAAGCTTGCACTAGGAAATACACTATTATAGTCAAGTTTTGTACAACAGGAGTTGAAGAAACTCTCTCTTGAACCACTGCTGGTGGTCCCTATGTCTTTGCTGGAAAAAACTTGTATCTACCATAGTGCCATTTGGAGAAGTGCCAGCTTAACAGGCCAAACAAGTGACCAAGCTGTTGTTTAGTGGTACAGAGTTTGGTTACCTGGAAGTTGATTCCTTGGAAAAAATGCAGGACCTAAGAAAGAAAGTAGGGTTATTTAAGTATATTTTTCTGTTTCATTTTAGTGCTAACAAATAGTAGTACAGCCTTGCAGGCTTTCTTGTCCAAGAGACACATTCCCTTAGATCATGGCAGACTGTGAGGATTTCTCAGTGTTGAAAAGAACTTTGGACAGGAACTTTGCTAGGCACCTACCCGTAGGAGTCTAACTCAGGTGCGCATGTTAAAAGGTTGGTGAGAGGAATCTCACTCATGGAGCCAGGCTGTTCTGTGGGTTTTGAGGACAGTCTTGCACTGAGGTTTGGGCTGGGATTGTTTGACTCTGGACTGATATTTGATCAAAGGGCTCCTTTCACTGCCAGGTCTAGATGAAAAAGGCCACTGTAGGAAACAGAAAATGATGATAATGACTCCATTTATTGATCCACCATGACAGGAAGGAAATTGTGCAAACTAGTGAGCCAATTTTGCTGTCATCTTGGGAGGACTTGAGACAGTGGTCTGTGTCAAAAGGCAACAGCTTCCAGTGAGAAGATCAATGTTCAAGTTTGGAAGTTTGTCTTAGCTGGACTTGCCACATACCACTACCAAACATCTACCCTTTGCAAGCTTTATGAAGTGGAATTTAACCTTACATCTCAGAATAGACAGGAAAAACAGGAACTTCTGTTTCCTTGACTTATATGGGTGCTAGATTGTTCTTTGCACAGTGAAGATGCTCTACAAAGTGTCCATCTCATGCTAAAGAACTTGTCATCTAACACTATTAGTTGGTCAGACAAGCTTATGTTTGGTTTAGTTTCTCGTTTTGGACATTGTTATGGACCCTGTGATCCTTATGGGCCCCTTCCAAATCAAGATGTTCTATGATTCTATGTTTTAAGAGCCCAACTCCAAATACTTAGAGGTATTCAGGGCATAAGAGGACCTTGTGGATGGAAATGGTATATTCCAGACTGTCACCTTTAGTCTGACCACAATAAAAAGATTTGAGCTAGGTGGCAAGACAAGACACACTGAGGAACAGGCTACAGCTGGTGCTAGTGTGAAACAGAACTCAGAGGCTGCAACTGAGGCCATAAATAATTTCCAGAAGATGATGGGAATACAGAGATTCATGCCCCCCAGAAAGACCTGTGGTGGTAAGAGGCTCTCACCACATCATGATACTTCAAACTGCTTGTGTGGCATCTTCCTAGGTTCATGCTGATCCATAAGCAGAATGTTCCCATACTAGAGCACACTATCAGAAACTTTCCTTATATGTCTCAGACTAGTCAGCAGTACTTTTCCCACTTCCTGCCACTCAAACTTACCCTGTTTTACAGATAGCCTCAAGCATTCTTGCAATAGCCTTGAACAAGTAGCACCCTGTTGGGATTACTTTTGGGAATGGTGTGCATGTTGTGTAAATGGGCTCCCAACAGACTTTTTTCTGCATAATATTTTGTTGGGTACACAGCAGTACTACCCACAGGGTTTCTTTCCCGCTATTAAAAGCAAGATCTCACAAAGACACGTGTCCCAGATTCCTGAGAACCTTCAGGAGTGCATGGAGAGCAGAAAGCTCTGATTGGCTTCCTGTCCCACTGGTAAGCATGCAAAGTTCTTTAGCTCATGTGACACAACAGCTAGGGGAGAGGCTGCAAAGAGCATGGGCCAGGCTCTGTGGCTTTTGCTTTCCAGATACAGTTTTCTCAACTCGAAGACTGAAAAGTGAATTAAGACCCTGTAATTTCTGCATTCCCAGTGCCCTAACCCATAATAAAGTTAGGGCCCATCAGACCATCCCCAAGAATCACCTATCTTGTATGCATTCTGGGACTGATACCAAGACAGTGCATAGCTGTTTAGGACAGGGGAGGAAACCCCTAAATGATCCCTGCATTTTAAATAGCCAGGGCTTTGGTACTGGTAAGACTTCTCTCATTAGAAATCCTCTGTTAATCTGCTTTATGGTGGCATTACCAACAGAGCTGTGTCCAAGTGAGATTTCAGATGCTCAGCCACTCTGTATCCAAGTACTTCATACTCTATTTAGCTTGAGAAGTCATCATTCATGTGTTTATCATGCAAGTTTGACTTGCATAACAGCCTTAATTAGGATGATGATGGACTTCCTCTGTGCTCCTGCATGTTTGACAGTTTCAAAGCAATTTTATCCTACCTTCCCTCCAGGCTCGTGTAGGAGGGATGGAATTCTCCCCAGGGATGGTCTACATCTCTCCAGACAGCCCTCTCAGCTTGCCAGCTATTGTCAGCATTGCAGTGGCAGGTGGCCTGCTCATCATCTTCATCGTGGCCGTGCTGATTGCCTACAAGCGCAAGTCCCGAGAGAGTGACTTGACCCTCAAACGCCTGCAGATGCAGATGGATAACCTGGAGTCCAGGGTGGCACTTGAGTGCAAAGAAGGTATGGTGAGGAAAGAAGGCTGTGATTGTATCAGGAGAAAGGAATCCAGCTGCAAAGCTTTGAGCCAAAATATCACCAAGCAGCAGGGGTGTTGAACTCCTGGTTCAAGTCCAAGTCTAATCTGACTTTGCCCATTTTCTCTGAGTCCAGTCTTCCTCCACCTTGTGTTAAGTGCATTTGCTAGCTCAGTGACCAGAGAGAGCCCTGGCACATTGTCCTGGGAAAAGTGAGACTGCTCTTGTCTACCTTCCTCTTCCTCTCCATTCGTTGCCTCTCCATTTATGTCTCATTCATGTGAGGCTGAATGTCTTTTCTGTTATGATGAGAGAGATCTGAACTGTTACTGATGTATGTTTTGTTTGTTTTTGTGTCAGCTTTTGCAGAGCTGCAGACGGATATTCATGAGCTGACAAGTGACCTTGATGGAGCAGGGATCCCTTTCCTCGATTACCGAACCTACACCATGAGGGTGCTTTTCCCTGGCATTGAAGATCACCCAGTCCTGAGAGATCTGGAGGTATCAGCATTCCCAACTGCAAGATGTGTTGTGACAGTGGAGGGGACATGATGTCTTACAATACTGTGTCTTACCAGGGACAAAACAGTACCTCATTTACAGTCTAGATTGGAAAAGGATGTTTTTTACTGTATTAGATGTTAAATTCTGTTTGATCAGTCATCTATTCAGAAGAGCACCATACATCTGAGTGAATTATTAGTTTGCTGTTTTAAGCTCCCTCTTGGTCTTCATCCTGTTTGAATTTGTTTTTTAGACCATGCAAGGGCTAGGAAAAAAAGTTTTAGAGTAGAACAGTATACCTGTGTGTATAACACCAGCTTTGTCAATTGCTGATGCCACCCAGCATCCTTTTTTTCCTGGCAATAACTACAGTCTGCATTCTCTGAAGGAGAATCACCTTTGCTGTGCTCTGTGGTTTGCAGTGGGGTCAGAGATGTACAGCATCAGTCTGCCCAAGACCTGCCCATCTGTGCCCTGCATCCCAGCTCTCAATCCTGCAGCAGTGTGACAATGGTGAGACGTTGCCCAGCTCTGCTAGAGTCTGCATGCTGCCTGCACTACCGCCTTGGCAGCATAAGTTTTACAGATCTAGATGACGTTGTCCATTCTGGTTCAGGACTTGGCAGATAGACAGGACCTGCTATAGTGATACTTGAGCCAGAGAAGCAGGTCATACACCATGTCCAAAGCCAGCAAGGTCCTTGGCTGAACTCTGCAAAGTCTCTGGCAAACTCTGTGCCTCAGAGAGGCTCTGGCATAGAGAGTTTCCTGGAGGCAAAGACTTGAGTTAGCTGGCAGAGAGGAGGAATAGGATTTGGCACAGGCAATTCCATGCTTGGCTGGCTGTGTAATCAGAGGTTCCTGCTACTTTTTGCTCCTGTACTTCAAGAGAGCCAAACTTCATCAAACTATAAGGTGAGAACCATTAAAAAAATGATCTGGAAGCATTGAGGACTTTTGGTAATGGCTAGGAAGCTGCAGAACACATTGGTTACTGTAGAGATTGCTTTTGGGATACAGCAGCTTCAACAAATGAGCACACAAGATGAGGAGTGATGAATTTCTCCTCCATGTTCATACACACATGCAAGCACTTTTAGCATACCCACAGCTGGTTTCAAAGTGTGTATTCATTAACTTCAGCCAGCTGACCACCAAGAAGTATCTGAACCTTACAGAGCTTTTAGCATGGATGTTCTCATATGAAGATACGTGTAGAGAAACACAGAGTTAATGTTTTAATCTGCCACTTTTGATTCCAGGTCAGTCTGAACGGGACTTAACCCGATCTAGCTGCAGGTGTTTCTGTTCATTGCAGGGAGTTGGACCTTTAAGGGTCCATTCCAACTCCAACAGTTCTATGATTCTATGATCTCCTCTTCCTATCTTAATTATTTTTTTCATCTCTGGGTTTCTGCCCCCTTAATCCACTCAGTTGTTTCTAAGTTCTTTCAGTGTCAAAGTCTTTGGGTACCAGCAAACCAGAAAGGAGTTTCCATCCTGCTCCTTACTCTGTAGCACCTAGATGGAGCCAGTACTTATTGGGAAAAGGCCCCAGAGATCCTGTAGGCAGGAGGCCTTACTTATTTCCAGCTCATTTGTTAATTAGCTGCTTCCAGATGCGTTACAAAATGCTTCTCTTGTTATTTTTTTTTAATTCTACATAGTAACCTGGGGATAGACAATATTAAATGTTCAAGCAAGTGAGTTAAAAATAATTATTAGCAGAATGAGTGGTAGTGGTTGGTTGATTGTCTCAAGCTATTTAGTAAGTAATTTATTTTCAGTTTGCAAAAACAGTTGAGATCTCTAATTTCCAGAATAAAAAAGTAATGATTCTTTATGGGGACTTGCATTACTTGGTCATTTAAGCATGCTAACTTGGATTAAAGTGCCAAAACAAGGCAGTTAATACAGTCTTACAGCAGTGGCACGTGTTGCTCTGAGTTGTGAGTCTGCAGCTTCCAGGAATGTTTTTTGAAGAGATGAAAGAAACATGAAGGAATGAGTTTGAGGTTCTCATTTGGGATGCACTGGTGTAGCATATAAAAGGATGAAGTATACCCAGTGTGGCTTTATTTTGATCCAGACACAGAGAGGCAGGAAAGGATAATGCCCACTGTAGACTGTGGCATCCAGGGTTCAGTGTTGAGGTCCTAAATTGTTCTACACCAAACCTAGTTCACCAGCCTTTCACAAATGAGAAATACGTATCATCTTACCAATTACCCTGTCTCTAAATGATCCCACCTCCCAAGCCCCAGGGTCCTACTGCCTTAGGACATTGAAAATAGGTTCCAGCTCTGCACCCTCTCGCACTTTCTTTTGTCTATGGTTCAGTGGGCATGGTGGTGATGGGTTGATGTTGGACTACATAGTCTTTCAGTGCTTTTCTCCAACCTTATTTATTCTGTGATCTAGTTCTTCAGACCAAGACCCAGCTCCATGCTCACCACCTCAGCTTCTGTCTCACTGCATCTCTTCATCTCCTCAAAACATGACACCTGGACCTCTTTTTCCCATTACTTTACTTCTTTCTCCGCCAGCTCACTAAGCAGAGCCCCAGACCCATGCCTTGTGCTCCCCATACTGCACATTCCCTGTGGTTAGGCAGCTCCTGAAATGCAGCTGATATCTGGTTGTTTGCTGAGATGAGGAGATAAGGAAACCTACACAGGTCCAGACCAAAAGGAGACCCATGTAACCCCAGGCTTTCCAACATTGACTCAGACTGTTTTTCTCTTTAGGCAGGTTTCTTGCAGGGATTAAAAAGAGATGTTAAAGGTGGATAGAGTGAGACTTCAGTCTGACAGTAAGAATACAGTATGCTATGATACCACATCCAGGCATCAGCAATTTCCTCTGGATGTACTGTTCAGAGAGAGAGGAGCAGAGCTTGAAAATAACCACCTGGCTGTGGTTGGGATGTATGTCTGTCTTCCTATCAAATGACTCTCTTCCTTCTTAAAGAACTATACTCCAAAATGCAAACTTTCTTTTTAATTTTCTTTGCAGTTGGAGGCAGCTTTTCCTTCTCTATATCTCAGATCTGATTTCTACTTGTTGAATTATATAGCTGGAAGAAATGGAGGGCCGAGAGCAGAGAGTTAGCAAAGGGTGTATGACTTGTTTGGGAATTTCCTGCAAGTGGGCAGTGAAAGAAAGGTATAAACTGGTTTTTTTCTTATGCAGGTCCCTGGCTATAGGCAAGAACGGGTGGAGAAAGGCCTCAAGCTCTTTGCACAGCTCATCAACAACAAGGTTTTCCTGCTATCCTTCATCCGCACACTGGAGTCCCAACGCAGCTTCTCCATGCGCGATCGTGGCAACGTGGCCTCACTGATCATGACAGTGTTACAGAGCAAGCTGGAGTATGCTACTGATGTCCTCAAGCAGCTCTTGGCTGACCTCATAGACAAAAATCTGGAGAGCAAGAACCACCCCAAACTGCTGCTCCGAAGGTAAAGATATCCAGGGCTGCGCAACCTGCAACCCACTATATAACACAAGCATGCAGTTCCATTTTGGATGAAAATGATGAATTTGCTTGATTTTGGTTCATGCAGCAGAGTATGAAATTGTATATAGTCACAGCTCACCTGACCCTGTAGAGCTGGCATGAAGCTGTTTGCAGGGAAAGATTAATAAGGCAGGTAGGGATGAGTGAAGGTTTTGCTTTCCTTTACTGCTTTGCTGCTCTCTGCCTTCAGTCAGGGATTGAAACTTTTACTACTATTGCATTATCTGTGGATTTTAATGTGAATCTTCAGAAAACTTCATAAGAGCAGCAAGAGGTCACATTTCATAAGCCTTAGTTTGGACTTGTGCTAGACCAACAAGTATACGACATAGAACAGGCTGTGTAATATACTTGGACTGCATGGTGAATAAATTGGAAGTTGCCTCACCTGAGAGGTGGACAAATCTGCTGTGCTTCATGTTTCTGAGTTACATGCATATGTGGTCTTCTTCAGCTGCACTGTGTGATTTCCTGTCTCTTCCTGATCGTTGGCTTTTGGAGCCAGTTGAATCCAGAAGGCAGAGCTGAGCAGGACAACAGAAATGGTTTCAGTTGGGTTTGTGCTTCACGGTCTAATCTCCAGGGTTGTGTGGAAAACCTTGAATGTGCTGCTCTGTGGTTAATGTAGTCTCCTTGCTTAGGGAAAGGCTGAATTTCCTCCTTTTAGGATCATATTAATCTTCTTTCTGTGGTCTGAACCAACCATTTTGCTTGAAGTCAGGACTTTAAGTAAAAAAAGGGCCTTTGCCACTGCTCAGAGTTGTGTTTGAGCTGATTATAATGGATGGCTCAGGCAGGGGAAAGGTCTGTAGTGCCTGCTGGGAGAGTTTTCTTCTGGCACACAGCCCATCATGAAGTACCAACAAAAGGAGGAGCAGTAGGCATTTCCTGGCATTCAGAGTAGCAACACCAGGGGCAGAAAATGGTCTTCACTTCAGCATTATTTGGCTCCTTGAGTCCTACAGCCTGGCTGGCAACCTCCCTCTAGCTGTTCTCAATCTTCCTCTCTATGCTTCTCCTCTGATGCTTGTTGTCACTGCCTTCTTCCAGTTGTCCCTTCATTTTTCTTCTCCTTTCTTTTCCCCTCTCTCCATCTCTTTGTCTTCTCTGATTGTTCATTCCTGTCTTCTCCCAGGTCCCCCATTTTTCCCTTTTCACCTTCTTCCAGTTCTTTTCTAACTCTAATCCTATTTGTTGAGAATGTACTTTGGCCTTTGGAAGGCCACATGTGAACATATGATTGGCTCCATTCCTTGGTATTCAGATATTGGTGCAAGATTTGCTGACAGTTATTTGGAGCAGCTGAATTAAACTTATGTTTCTCTTTCCATTTCCTCCCTTTGACTGTGAGGATGGAAAGAAATCTTTCAAGACCCTCCTGCAGGATTGGCTTGTGGGCTGTCAGGCAGGAGGAAAGAGTTGGTTGGAATGATTTTCCATCTTGCCTGTGTCCAGTGTACATCCCAAAAGACATACACTGACCCAAAGAGATCAAAGTTGCCCAGGAAACAGCATGACAGGATTTCAGACCTTTTGTCATTAATGCTAAGTTTGCAGTATGTGATGGGTCCCAGTGATGTCAGCGTCACATCCCCTGTGGGAAGCTCAGAATGCTTGACTTGAGGTTGATGCCATAACCAATGGAGAACAGTGGTTAGATGACACTGACTGAGGGGAGTACTGGGCAAGCAGGTTGGGTTTGACAGATACAGTCTCTAGAGAGAGACACAGCAGTGATCACTGTAGACAGAAGAAATGAGATTAACTTTATGCTGAAAGATGAAGGAACCTAAAAAGCAACCTATAGCCCTAAGCAAGAAACTTCTGAATTGCCTTGGTGATGGCCAGGTCTAGCAAGACCCACGTTTACTTATTCTAGCAGGGACTCATTCTTTCTTCTTGAGCAAAATCATCGTGCAAAAAGTTTGTGCATCGGAAGCAACACAAGCTTATCCTGTGCTCCTGGTGTCCAAACTCAGTTAACCAGTACAAATTAGTTAATCTGTAGGAAAAGTTCACTCTGAAGTCACAAGATTGATTTTTGTTTGGTTGAAAATAGAGTTCAAGGGCTACAGGAATTGCTCTGTGAATGCACCACATTGACACACTGAAGATTATAATTACTCTCAAATGCCAGGGAGATAATCACTACCAGATAAGTATTCTCTAGAGATTTAGATCTGCCTTAAGTACTTACATGACCTACTCATCTGTACAGCCTAACTGGGAGCTCGTCATATTTGATGGATTTATCCTCCCTGAGCATCTCTGAGATTCTTCTCTTTCGTTGATGGAGAAAATGCAGAAAAGCATATAGGGACTTTCCTAGTCACTGGAGAATCACAAGGTCAGTAAGGGTTTTCTAGAAGGTTTCCTAAATCCAAAGTTAAAGCAGAGACACTAGGATGTGCTTAATCCTGATGGTATTGTGCCTGATTTTCCTTGGGGCTTGGTGATCTGGACAGTAAGATGTACAAAACAATCTCTTAACCAGACCTTAGACTAACATGACTAACTATTTCCAATTTTTTTTTTGTCCCGGTCTGATTTTAGGACAGAGTCTGTAGCTGAGAAAATGCTCACCAATTGGTTCACCTTTCTTCTGTACAAGTTTCTCAAGGTAAGATAAGTAACGCTCCTGGGTGAGCAGCTGCTTTAATGCATTGCTTCTTGGCAAGGTGTAGTTGGGGTAGCATTGGCTTTGAATGACGGTGATCAGTGAATGAGTGAAATAACTTGAGATGCACTCTGAGCCCTCTTATTCCTGCTGGAAGGTCTCCGTCAGGAGTTATGTAATAATAATTTAAAAAAAAAAAAAAAAAAAAAAGCCTTCAGCCTTTGAGTCTCATCATTAATGGCTGGGTGGTGACATGTCCTCATGAGGACCCACACTGAGCTTTTAGGCGTGCTAATTGCTGGGGTCCCATACTTACAGCCAGCCTTTTGGAGAGAGATGCCTGTTCACCTTCCCTTGACTCTCAGTGCAGTTGCCAGATCTCCTTACATCTCACATTATGTCATTTGGACAAGATAACTAACCTTTGCTTGGAAATTCAAAGCTTTACAAACCAATCCCATTCCTCTGAGCCTTTCCAACCCCCAGGCACAACCTGTCAAAGGCTGAATGCATGGGAGAGTTTTGAAGGTCCCTGCAAGGTAATTTCAGTGACTAGTATCAGATTCCCTCTTGCAGCTGAAAGGAAAGGGTACAAGGAGGTGACTCTCTAAAGCACTGCTTTTATAAGTCTTTCCACCCACTCAGCTACTTGTCTTCCTGCCTTAGCCTGAACAGTGGCCTGATAAGTGCATGAGACAGGCACACAGAAGCAATATGCTCCTGGCAGATAAGCTAATTAAGTGGGAGACAGGTGTAGGAACTGAGAAAGGGGCCACTTTACTTCATATTATTAACTTGTTCTTGCCTGGATTTACACTAGAGGAAAATGACCTCGCTCACTGAGTTTGGATGCACCGCTGGAGAGGAGGGCAATGTGGGAATGAGGGAAGAAAGAACAAAGGCATGAGAGAGAAGGGAAGGACAGAAGAAAGCACAAGGAGGGATGCATGGCAAGAAATGTGCAGAGGGAGGGCACAGCAAGAGAGGATAGGTGTGGGAAGAAAGGTGAAGAGAGAGTGAATGAAGGGAAGGAGACATTGGTAAAGAGGTTCCTTGGCTGCCTGTGGGGTGCTTGTTGCACTTGACATCACTGATGCAATTGCACAGAACAGGGGGCACCATTGTTCTGGGGCAGCCCTCCCCTCAGTCATTAAGCTGCTCCTGCCCAAGCAGCATTGCTTGCCTTCAGTACAGGAGTGCTCAGGGAGACTGCAGCCACTGCCCAGACACCTGGGATGAGGCACCAGTGGTGCTATCTCCTGCCAGTCGTGTCTCCAAGTCTTTCAGGACCCATCCTACACCTGCTCCGTTGCGAAGGTGTGGCCCAGCAGCAGTCATTCAAACAGCCTTTATATTTTTTGATGTGGAATCACACGGTGATTCACCCAGTGAGGGTGACTCCCTGTGAAGCATCTGCCTTGAGTGGCTGGGGATGGCAGGCAGCAGCAATCACTGAGATATCATGTGAGCTTGGCATCCAGATTTTCATCTATGCTTTTTCTTGCTCACCTGATTGTCATCTCTCACCCTTGCAGGAGTGTGCTGGTGAACCTCTGTTCTCCCTCTTCTGTGCCATCAAGCAGCAGATGGAAAAGGGTCCCATTGACTCAATCACTGGGGAGGCCCGGTACTCACTGAGTGAGGACAAGCTTATCCGACAGCAGATTGATTACAAAACACTGGTGAGTACTCTGAGCATTCTCTACTGTGAGCTTGTTCACCTTTTTCTAGCAAAAGGGCATTTAGAAGAAAGAAGCTAATGAAGAACACATTGACTTTCTGGGTCTTTTTTTTCTTGCAACCCAACAGCCTAACAGTTGCATTCCCTAACACAATGAAGTTTTGTTGCTGAAGAGTTTTCTTGCAAAGCATGTTTGCAATGACAACTACTTCTAATTTAATTCCACTGTGTTGTATCTCATGTCCAGACCATCTTGATTTCCCCACGGGCATTATCTGTTGTGTGAAATCCTATGAAGATATTCAGCACCCATCTGGACACCTACCTGTGTGGCCTATTGTAGGTACCTGCTTTAACATGGAGGTTGGACTCCATCTTCTCTTGAGGTCCCTTCCAATCCCTGCAATTCTGTGATTCTGTGATTTTGGCATTGAGGAAGATGTTATAGTAACACAGAGCAGGGACCTATCAGGTCTTCTTCAGAGTCAGTTCAACATTCCTTTTAAGCAAGCTCAACAAAAAGACAAATGAACTTGATTTAAAGGGAAATAGAATTATTTCCTGTCACTGAGTCATTTGCTTCATGATTGCATGATGAAAGATAGACTGTTTATTCCTAAGCTAGATACATCCAACCTTGGCTTCTATATGAGATCACATCCTTTTTCTGTATGATTAAAGAGCATCAATTAAGGATGAAGAACACTAAGCACCTCTTACTGTAAATATTTGTAAGTCTTCACTTTTTTCCTGGATTCACTAATTCCTTTAAGCCTCTGCAGGATGAAGGAAACTTTCCGAGTGCTCAACTCTCCTTGTAATTCCTTTGTTTCCCAGAAGTTTGTTCTTAGAACACGACAGGTTTTAAGATGATCAACCCTTCCTGCAGCAGAGGGTTGAATTAGATGATCTTTCCTGTCTTTTCCAACCCAAACCATTCTATGATTCTATGATCAGAAGATGTTTTGAACTTAGCAGCTGATTTTATGCACACCTTCAACTGTGGGATGTTCATTTTGCTTTTATTTAACTTGCTTAGAGAGCTGTATCCAGTCAGTGATAGCTCCTTTGCCTGCATAAGATCTTAGTATAGGTGGGCTGACTCTACAGAAGTCTGTTCTTCCCTGACTGCCTAACTTCAGTTCAATTCAAGTCTAATGAGTTAATGAATGAGTAAACTTTATTTTTAAATAAGACTACAGTTTACTTTTGCATTCTAAAACTTCCCTATTAAATCACCAGAGCAATGCTTCTTTTCCATTATGTGTAGTTGTCTAGTAATTTGGAGACCTGATCCTGGAGAGAATGAGTAAAAGAAAAAAAAATCAGGCACAGAATGATCACTTTCACCAAAGGAAATCCATCCGATCTGTTTAGGCTTGATATAACTCAGCCAGCAAAGGGTAGTAATTATACATCAGCCCGAACAAAGCTCTCTTCCATTTGCTTTGTGTTATTTGATGTTAATCAGCTCTCCCTCTTACATTTCAAGAGCAGACAAATATAACCCGATAGGAATCTTAGCAGATTTACAGAGATCAGCTTCGGTGAAGAAGATTAAGAAGAAATAGAATATAAATAAGATTGTTCTTCCTTTGTTTCTTCTTACTTCTGTTATATTTTGTTCTTCCTCTACCTATTTTGAGCAGACATTATTCTGTTATCTTTTGTCAAAAAAAATACGGTAATGAAATTAAGCAAGAATTGATTCAGTGCTTTTTAGTATAGGAGATTCAGTATTTGTAATGTAGGAATTCACTGAATGTCTCCTGTTCTCTCTGTAAAGCATCTGGTCACTGCCATGAGTCTGTAGTGTTTGTGGCTGAAATTCATTGGGTTCTGTTTCATGACTGCTGGATGGAGTTGAGTCACACCTAGAAACAATCTGTTTATTGCCATTGTTCCACAATGACAAGTATTCTTTTGGAAGCATTATTCTTTAGCTTTTATTAATCGTGATCATTATTTTAAGTCTTGGTTTCAAATATGGTTTGAGCGAAAAGCAGATCCCAAGAAACTGACTTATCAGAGGAGACAAAAGGAGACAGAGCAGTTTCAAACATCTGGAATTACTAATTTTACAATGTGTACCTCGTTCACTAAATTTTTATAGTTTGGGTCTGATTTATTTCCAGACCAGATAGCTACAATTTTCTCTGTGCAAAATCCTATAGTTCTCCAAGGAAGCAGCCCATGGTGAGCTGAGGTCTTTGCACTCTAGAACAATTTGTGTACATGCAGGAGATTTTTCAGAATCATAGAATCACAGAATCACAGAATGGCCAGGGTTGGAAGGGACCTCAAGGATCATGAATCTCCAACCCCCTTGCTACATGCAGGGCCACCACCCTCCACTTTTAATACCAGACCAGGCTGCCCAGGGCCCCATCCAGTCTGGTCTTAACACCTCCAGGGATGGACGGGGCATCCACAACCTCTCTGGGCAGCCTGTTCCAGCACCTCTCCACTCTCTCAGTAAAGAATTTCCTCCTGACATCCAACCTGAATCTTCCCTCCCTCAACTTAAAACCATTTCCCCTTGTCCTGCAGTTATCTACCCTTTCAAAGGGGTTGACTCCCCTCCTGTTTGTAGGCTCCCTTTAGTAACTGAAAGGCTGCAGTGAGGTTACCCAGCAGCCTTCTTTTCTCCGGGCTGAACAAGCCCTGCTCCCTCAGCCTGTCTTTGTAGGGGAGGTGCTCCAGTCCCCTGATCATCTTCATGGCTCTCCTCTGGACCCTCTCCCACAGCTCCCTGTCTTTCTTGTACTGAGGGCTCCAGACCTGGACAAAGTACTCCAGATATCATAGAGTTATTTTAATTGGAAGGGACCTTTAAAGATCATCTAGTCTAACTCACCTGCAATGAACTGGGACAGCCCAGGTGACACTAAGGTAGCTACAGATGATATTTGCTAGCATAAATGTGCATCAGCTACCCAGTAGATCTTCTCCCAAGATGTATAAACTCAGAGAAACACCCTCTGGTGTTAATGTCTTTGCTAATAGTCAGTTATCATCATCTGTGGTCTGCAGCATTATTAAAAGCCTAGCTGGATTATTCCATCTATGGCAGACAAGAAGATTTCATTCCTGCTGCCTGCCATCTGCCTTTGCCAGAATCGATGGCTTTTTTTAGCCTTTCACCACACCAGAGTCTCTCTGCGCAAACCTCCCTCCCTGCTGCCAAAGCTCTGCTCTCACTGGGAGATGAAGGACCATCCATCTCTTACATCAGCTTCATTTCTCTTGACACGAATAATGCAGAGGAGCAAAGGCCTCGATGTGTGTCGGAAGCTGTCAAGAGCATTGGATAATGAGTTCTCGGAGCTGGCAGGCAGGAGCTGCCCAACGTGTATTGAGCAATGGCATGCTCTGCATGGCCCTTGCACACCTTGGCAGAGTTTAGAGCCTAATCAGATCATCCATCCCGACAATGTAGCCCAGGGCGGTTAAATATGTTTTGAGCTATGTTTGGTTAAAGCCTTTCAAGGAGTTTTGGTGGCAGGGAGAAGCCAGAAATGAGATACCAAAGGGTTCCCCCGTGCTTGGTCTCTTTGGGCATCCTTCTCCTTGCTGTCTTGCCAAGACATACTGTACCCCTTGGACCTTCTTCAGACTAATCTAGAAGACCAAAACTGTAGTGATGTCCTGGTCTCAGGATGAAGCACCCAAACAATACAGAGAGCTCAGGATGAGGGTCCCCTATATGGGTAACCACAAGCTGTGTGTTTGTAATTTAAATGCCAGTAATCCCCAGTGGAGATGAGGGCTTAGTTGTGCTAAGCATTGCATATATGTGTATGTGAATTTATATATATATATATATGTACACACACACTTAGAGACAGTTCATGGTTGGAAGGGCTGACAGATAAAAAGCCCAAGGTATAGAAAGAAGGTCAATAAACACAAATCCAGTGAGATATTATAGCCCAAGGTCAACCCTGACCATGGCAGGGGAGTTGGAACTAGATAATCCTTAAGATCCCTTCCAACCCTATGATTCTATTAAAAAGTCAGTGTGGGAGCAGGGCTCAGAGGTGACTATTTTCCTTGCTCCCAGTCCCATATCTTTCTGTGTTGACCTCTTGACTAGAACCCTCATTTTGCTGTGCTGACACAGATCTCAGTGCGTGAGTTGCATTCCTGAAGGCAACTGAAGATGTTTACATTGGTGCTGAATCACTCTGTAGAGCTTGCTGTGACTGATATCAGCTCTATCCAGTTTAAGTGAGCTCACGCCAATGAGACCTGCAGAGTAACTTCATCTCCACGGGCATGTGGACCCCTCTAGGATTTCCAAAAGAGCTGATCTAGCCTGTATTACCATGTCATTTCCCTACAAATGTGTAGCAGGAAGGAGACAACTAATAACCTCAACACTGGATGCATTTCAGCACCGCTTTTTATGTATTACTCTGTGATCATTTGAGATGAAAGATGCCTCAGAATTATACAACTGTGCCGTTGTCATTATTATCTGAATCGATGCTTCTTCAATACTCCTGAATGTGGCACATAAATAATAGCATTATGATGTAATCAATATCTCATATTTATATCTACCCTTTCATCCAGAAAGATCACAGAGCTCTTTGTAAGCAATATCTTCACAAGTCCCTCTTAGTTAAGTATAACAGCACCAAAGGGAGCCTGTTGAGCCAATATATAATTATACTGATACAATTTCACCCAGTTTCAAGCCACGTTTAGATCTCACTGAATCTTGGTAGATTAGATGGAATGTGATATAGGGTCCAGTATCTCTTGTATGCTACAGATAGGAATTTATGGTCAAGGTAAAATTTGTCAAAGTCACCAAAAATAACATGCCCGCACATATAAAAGTTGCAAAGCAACATTTAATGACTCTATACAGCCAGAAACTCTAGCGAAAACTGCTTCCAAGTACAAAGGTGTGCTAAGTTTCTAAAGGTTTATGGACTTCACACTTCTGTAACGAGAGCAGAACACTTGACATAGACATGGCTGAGAGTCAGTGGACAAATTACTGTTAGATCCTGTGTTTGTTTAAAGCATCCATCCCTCCCCACTTCATGTGCTTTGCATTTATTCTTGGACACGATCTTCAGGGAAAATTATATTCTCCTTCAGAGTAACCAGAGGCCTCTCGAGTTGAATGAATTTTCTTATTCTTTATGTGAAAGCAGCAAGGCTTTTTAGTTGCTGTTGTTTTGTATATCTTTTTAAGAAGCCCTGCATTTCAAATTAATAGCATGAGAAGGATCCTGGTCCATCCTATGCAGAAGATGGACAAAGTTAAAGCGGAGAGACGAAAGATTCCTTTTACCTGTACTGTCAAAGTCAGATGGGAATGTAAGGAGGCTGCTACAATACTTAGACACCTTGCCAGATCTCTAAGGAACAGGGAATGGGTTCATGTTCAAACAGAGACCAAGGAAAGGTCTGGATACCAGTCCAGATCCAGTCAGGGTCTGGTTGTGTTGTCTGGTAGCATCTGGGTGAGTGTTATTTTGAAAGACCTGCGAGAAGGTGGGTGTGAAGGGCTGATCACAGGATACTGGCACTGTTGTGGCACTGTGTAGTTGGTCTCACTGCCTCTTTCCCAGGTCCTGAGCTGTGTGAACCCTGACAACGTGAACAGCTCCGAGATCCCTGTGAAGATCCTGAACTGTGACACCATCACACAAGTCAAGGAGAAGATCCTGGATGCCATCTTCAAGAACGTGCCCTGTTCCCACCGGCCCAAAGCTGCTGATATGGACCTGGGTATGTGAGTGCACAATGGGCTCTGAAAGACCCATGGCTTGTGGGAGAGGGGACACAGTTGAGCTCAACCCAAGCACTTTGCTGTGGCAAGTGCCACCTCTCCAGGTGCTCGGGAAAGGCAAAGTGTCAGGAATGCTCAGAAGGTAGAAGAGACTGAGTAAATTAATGCAAACTCTCCTGGCTTGTGAAAGCTCTACTGCTCCAGCCTTGGGGACTTAAAATCTCCAGTAGTCATCCTGCTTTTCTGCACGGTTTGGCCTATGCAAGGCACATCCTGCCAAACCTTCTGGAAAAGAAAGTACCAAAAGCACAAGGTGGTGTTGTCAGCAGTGTTCAGGCTGCTCAGATTTATTCCAAGCTCTTCTCTGGGCGGTGAAGGCTTGGATAATGCATGTCTTCTTGCTGAGTGTCACAGCCCAAGCAGAATTAATTTCTCATCATGTGGGAACAGGAAAGAGGATAAAGCATCCTCCGTTCAATGGGCTGCATCCATCTCACCCTGACTGCTTCCTTCTCCTACCAGCATCCCTCCACCAGCAGCAGGGCTGGGAGGTGCTGCTCTGACATTTCCAGCACTAACATTTTAAGGAAAGATCCCTCTGTTTATGAATTCTTGCTTTTTTGTTCCCTTGTGAGATACTGTGCTTGGAGGGTGGAAAGGGCTACACCAGCTTCACTTGCATTTTAAGTCAGCTCTGGGGCACACAGCCTCAAACAAGGATACCTCTGGGGCCAAAATCAGCTTCTGTTCAAAACTTGGAGCAAGGGCATGAGGGCAGTGAGATATCTGCAGCTGGATCCAGAAGCAGATCCAATACAGCACCTGGAGAACTGTATGAAAGGCTGCAGAACAGTCTGCTCGGGGCATTGCTGAGGTGTCTGGCTCAGGGCTGGGACTGCATTGTGTGTGACGATCAGCCAGAATTTGCCCTTGGTCACCTTCAGTGAAAGGGGCTTGAGTGGAAAATGATGGAGTCTATAAAAGTCAGCGCAGGAGAGGAGGAACCAAAAGGAGAGGGAATGGATGGATGCCAAGAAACAATTCACAGCAATAACAGAGGCAGAAATAAGAGGTCAGGGATTAAAGTTAAGTGTGTATATGTGTGTGCATTTGTGTAGGGGAGGAGGGGACTCCTGACAGAAACTGCAGCAAGATTTCTGCTCATGTGAGGCAGTTAGAATAATGAAATGATCTGCCAACACCAGCAGCAGTAAAGAACAGGTCATATATATCATGAGGAGGGGACCCAAGGTGATTTTGGAGATGCTGTGAGTCAGCAGTGAGTGCAAGGGTGAGGATCAGGCCAGGCAGGGAGCCAGGGCGGAGGAGATGGGACTATTGGGATTGACAGCCAAACCCATTGATCTGTCTGGTGCTGGAGGGTGATCACAGAGCCCATTAAGTTTGGGTCTCAGGCTGGGTATGGGTGGCAAATAGTTTGTTCTGCTGTGGGGATGAATGTTGCTTCCATGCTCAGAGGCAGGGATTTGTACCTGTGTATTGAAATCATGACGGATAAACTGGAGTGCAGAGATTTTATTGCAGCTCTGACAGCTGAGAGGTACAGAGCAGTGTGTGGAGGAGATCTAACTAAAGCCTGCAATTCTGCATCCAGGGCTTTGCTGCTATAGATAATTTTGATATTCTGAGTAATGCTGAGGGCCAGAAAGCATGTGCAGCCCTAACAGAAGGGTTGAACACAGTCTTGTCCACACTGACAGGAAACTGCTAAATGAGCAGCTGTTTGGCCAGTAGCATTGATGATGTAGTTGGCAATAATAATAATATTCTTATGCTTAATGATAATTAATATATAGGAAGATACAGATAGAGAAAAAAACAACCCAAAACATCTTCTCATCTAGATAAAGAGTCCTGCCAGCAGCAATATAGTTTCAGGTTCCCTTATCACAGCAGTTAATAAGATGGGAGGAGCAGAGCTGGCATGAGTGAAACAGGAGTAAGTGGGCACGCACATCCAGCCACAGCTCCAGCCCATCCGCTTTTGGGAGAACGTGCTTCTTGGCACCTGACATCCTTCAGTGACAGTAAGAGCAGCAATGAGAGAGCAGAAAGCAGTGTTAGGCATTAGGAAGCAGCACAGAGCTCTCAGCATCACCCTGCCCCAGGCTGAAAGCTCAGAGGCTCAGCCCCTCCAGTGCATGCTAAGCAGTGGGTCTGAGCAGATGATTATCATCTGGCCTTGAAATCGATCATTTTCTAAAGAGCAACACTGTTTTCTATTGCAAACGCAATTTTCTAGGCTTTCTGGCCACACTAAGGCCAGATTGCTCACATGAAGAAAGCAAACAAGCTAATGAGTTATTTTGAGTTGTTAAATGCAGGGTAGCTGCAGGCAGAGTGACTCGTATGTGTCGCAAATGTCATAATGTTTTGCAGTTACCCAGACAACTCATGGAGGGGGTTGTCAGCTGAAAGCATTTATTTTGGACACCCTGAGGTTACATTTTAGTCCAAAACCCAAATTGCAGCTCTCAAAGTAAAGGCTTCTTTCTACTGTGGCTATTTTTGTTATTATTGTTTTTTTTAAAGCCCTTGCCATAAATAAAATATTCCCCATCTTTGGGAAAACATTAAGGTGTGAGAATCACCAAACAGAAATTTGGCTCCATGCTGAGACATTCACTTTTCCCTGAGCCTTTGGAAAGGGACTGCTGAGGTGGAGGCAGTTGGGTTGAATGCCTTGCACGCTCAGTGGTGCTGGCTCAGCCTCACTGTGGACCTCGTCAGAGCAAGCTGTCAGTGCTTCACCAGCATGCAGTACTGAGGTGATGGGTTGAACATCTAGGAACCATTTAAACAGAGTGCAACTGGATCATATTTATAGTAAGGCAGAGAACTGGGCAGGCTGGAGATTTGGGCACAGAGAAACCTTGTGATGTTTGGCCGGAGCAAGTGTAGAGTCCTACACCTGGGGAGGAATAACTGCATGCATCATGGTTTGTTGGCTGAGCTGCTGGAGAGGAGCTCTCTAAAGAACCTGGGCCTCCTGGTGGACAGCAGACTGTCCATGTGTCATCAGTGTGCCCTTGTGGCCAAGAAGGCCAAAGGCAACCTGGGCTGCATTCAAAAGAGTGGAGCCAGCAGAGCAAGGGGGGTGATCCTCCTCCTCTACTCTGCCCTGCTGAGGCCACATTTGGAATATTGTGTCCAATTTTGGGCTCCCCAGTTCAAAAAAGACAGGGATGTCCTGGAAGGAGTCCAGCAGAGTGCCACAAGATTATGAGGGGCCTGGAGCATCTCTCCTATGAGAAGGGCTGAGACAGCTGGGACTGTTCAGGCTGGAGAAGAGAAGACTGAGAGGAAATCGTGTGACTCTTTATAAATATGTAAAGGGTGAGAGCCATGTGGACAGGACCAGACTCTTACCATCACTGCCCAGCAGTAGGGCAAGGATAATGGGCACAAACTGGTGTGTCGGAAGTTCCATACAAACACAAGAAAAAACTTTGAGGGTAACAGAGCACTGGAACAGACTGCCCAAGGAGGCTGTAGAGTCTCTTTCTCTGGAGAAATTCAAAACCCATCTGGATGCCTTCCTGTGTGACCTGCTGTAAGAAAGCTGCTTTGGCAGAGGGCTTGAATTCGGTGATCTCCAGAGGTCTCTTCCAACCCCTACAACACTCTGATTCTGTAACTTGCATATAGAGGTTGAATGATGACTAGCTCAGAAGAAGACATCTGGAGTGAAATGAGAGGTCTTACAGCTCTGAGTGTTTCAGTTGCCCCTGAAAAATCTTTCCTGTGCTGTACTTTTCTCTGTTGTTCTCTGGGCATCTTCATGGTGATCAGGATCAGAGTGAAGGCACAAGGGAGGTACAGCATCTGTAAGATCAGAGGTGCAGGACATCTCCCCCTCTCCCACCTCCTAGTAGACTCACTCCTTAGCAAGGCATTGCTACCACTCAAACAAGCTCCTCTTTATTGTTGTCCCCTGGAATTTCCCTTTTTCTGAGTCAAGTTGAACGGAAAGGTTGTTTCTTAAGGAAAAAAAAAAGAAAAAGAAAAAAAAAAGAAGTAATTCCTGCGTGCAATAAAAAGATACACTATCTGCTGAATGAAATATAAAGGCTTCACAGCAGCTGTCTCCTGAGTTTGCATTTACCACTGCTCCTGATTGGAAGGCTTGATAAAGATAATGGGATTTTTACCTCCCTCCCCCTCTCTCTGGAAGGTGGACGTATAACAAATTGGATTGGAGTGTGTCTCTCCTTTGTGCTGGCTCACAGAGGAGTGGGCAGATCTGATGAGAAAGGGGATGGGGTGCTGGCAGCGAGGACAAAGCTAACAGTTTTCACTTAGTGCTGTGAATATGGATGTCAGGGTCACCTTTTCCTTCTTTTGTGTCCTCCCAACCTGTTCCTCTGCATCATAGAATCATAGAATTGTTTGAGTTGGAAGGGACTCTTAAAGGTCATCTACTCCAACTCCCCTGCAATAAGCTGGGACACCTACAGCTAGAACAGGAACATCTACAGTGGTGCTTCCAGACGCCACATTTCTTTGCAGACTGTTCTGTGACCACCCATAAATAGTAAAGAGAAGCACATAGCACTGCTCTGAGGTTAGAAAAAGTTGGGGATTCTTTCCCTGTTATTGCTCAGATTCATGAGAAAGTGCTTTGTATTTGGTCTGGGCAAATGGGTCGTGAAGCTGAAGCAAGATGCTCTGAGCCTGCCTTGCAGAGTTCTCAGCCCCTTCTCTTGCTTGTGAATGGGTCTTGTGCAAAGTCAGGGTGGTCCTTGCTCTCCTCCACATGGCCCATTTTTTTTTTTTTTATGAAGGCTGAGGGGAAGGAGATTTGGTAATCGCCTGTATCTGAGTGGGAGTGTAGGGGGACCCAAGATATACATAGAAGACACAGTCCTATGGTTGCCAAAATATCCCCATAGCAAAGGGAAAGCTTCTGCTGCTCTGAGGACCCTGTTCAGTCCTCAAGTGTGAGAAGCAGAATGAAGAAAGGCATGCCTACATTTCATATCAGAGCTGAGTGGAACTCAGAGAACCCATGGATTCTTCCCAAAACACTGTGTAAGTGTATGTCCTTTCCCAAAGATGTGTGAATAAGGAGGCAACATGCCGAGACACAATGGAACAGGGTCAAAGAGACACCATGGGGATTTAAGGGTTTTGGTATACCCTTCAGAATGCTTTATAAAAGCACTGTGTCCCAGCCCAGTTCCAACTTAAATTTTGTGTTCTTCCAAGCAATGTCTGTGATCTGTTAGCTTCTGGGAATCTTGTCCAGGGGGCAATGAACAGTGTGTATCATCCTCAGACATCACAAGGATAATATAGGTGAAGATCAGAGGAGCTGCAGTGAATGAAGGGCAGTCTAGTATCAGTGCTTAGCCAACGTAACCTTCGCTTACTCTATCAGTATCTCCAGCCAAAGTAGCATCCAGCAATAAACAGAGCAGCTGACCTCTTTGTACTAATTTAAATGAATAATAAAGGCAAGGGCAGCTTTCCCAATACGTTTTAATTATGTGATAAGAAAACTGCTGAAACCAAAGGAAATTTGCAATGGTCCTTGCATTTTTATGTTAAGAGAAATAAGCAGGGGTGGCAGGTGATGTCTCCACATCCCAAATTTCTTTTTAATTAACTCCAGCAATTGAATAGACTTTTTGCTTGGGCTCTTGCTCCCTGTCTGGGTCACTGTGTTTGAGGCATGACAGTCAAAAAGGAAGCTTTGGATGGTTTTCTGTGGTTAAGCACCAGCCATGACTGGTGTCACAAAGGGATGTTACATGTCTCTTCTTTTGGTCCTGTCTACATGTTCCTTGCCTACAGGCAGGTTTGTGAGCACTCTTCAGATCAAGCTGTGTCAGTCCTCCGCATGAAGCATCCTTCAAGACTTCTACAAAAGATTGGAGCACCCTGGGAAGTGATGGGGTGCTCTAGTACTGCAGAAGGAAACACTCAGCATTTTGAGGTGGAAGCTAGAGGAGTGGTATGGTCAGAAATTGGAACCCTTCTGCTCGCAGACATACTGCTGAAGCCCCAGTAAAGGGTCTGGTACTGCAGCGAGCCAGACACTGCTCTGCCCATTGGAGCCCTGTCTTGACAGTTAGACCCCTTGTCCTGCTACTGCACTCCCTGATTAGGAGTCCCTGGCTTTCCTGTAGGTCCTCTGTAGATACTGGAAGGTACCATAATGTCAGCATCTCTGCCTCTTAATGAAAATGGGCCACTGACTAATTTCTATCCCTGAAACAAGTGATGTTCATTTTCTTATGTCACAAGTTAACAGATGACCTGCAGAGGGCAAGTGGATCTTAGTAACAGCCACAATGAAGAAAGAACAGCACCAGGGAGTAAGCTAGGAGTTAAGCACTATGAATAGATGCACCAGGATTTGCTCCATTCAGCTCTGCAGTTGGAACAAAATCTCTGTGGTCATTGCTTTATTTATCTGTATAAACTTTCACCGCTGTGTGTTGCTGTGCAATAGCTTTGGATCTCTCGTGTGTGTGTAGGCATCTGCTCTATATTTTTTGCACTCTTCAAAGGGCTGACTGTTTCTTGTGCAATAATAACTTCATGACAGCAACATTATTTTATCAAGTATAAAGAAACTGGTCTGGTTAACTTAGGACTTGACTGTGAACTTTGCCACATGACTCTTTTTTCGTAGCTCATGAACTGTTTATGTGAACCTGTTATGATTCGTCTGTCGTAGAATCATAGAATCACAGAATGGCCTGGGTTAAAAAGGACCACAATGATCATCTAGTCTTAACCCCCCTGCTATATGCAGGGTCACCAACCACCAGATCAGACTGCCCACAGCCACATCCAGCCCAGCCTTGAATGCATCCAGAGCCTCCTTGGGCACATGTCCACCCTTTCCATCTGTTACTGGCTTTGGGCATTATGCATTCACATATTGTACGTGGTTGGAGGCATCTGACAGAGCGTAATGACCACAACTGATGTGGTGCTACAGGTGTGCACGTGTCACCACACAGGTTATGAGCACAGGGATCTGAGGGCTCTGCAGAGCAGCATTCAGTGTTCTTATTCTCCTTGCAGAGTGGCGGCAGGCAAGTGGAGCAAGGATGATCCTCCAGGATGAAGACATCACAACCAAGATAGAGAATGACTGGAAGAGACTCAACACGCTGGCACACTATCAGGTAACTCTGGGAGAGGGTGGTTTAGAAGGTAAATCAGTCAAGAAGGTGCTAAGTAGAAGGGTAAAGTGTTGTTCTCCAAGATGCAGAGTTAAACAGTTATTGAGTGGGCAATAACTGAACAGAGCTCCTGTTGAGCACATCCATCCCACTCCTTCTAGGAGCATCATTAGAGATGAAGACAAGGGAAGAAATAAGACTCCGTCTCTCTCGAAAGAGGCAGTTCGGGTGAGCAGAATGTGAAGAAAAGTGTTTCTTAAGAGAACAACATGGATTAACATTTCTCATGTTGACAAACAGAAAACAAGCCTTTCTTTCTTTCTTTTTCCAATGCATCAAAGGCCTTGTAATGCTAGCAGAGTCCAGAAGGATGGAAAAGAGAAAAATGGAAGAGAAGAAGATGTATTGTCTGAAAAAAAAGGAGGAGGAAAGCAGCATGACTGGAGAGAGCAGTGCAGTGGAGATGACACTGCCCTAAGATCCTCTGATTTAATCCCTTTGTGACCTTGTCTTAAGACAAGATTTCTCATCATCTCTTCATAACCTTGAGACCTGTAGGAGAGGGATAAAGATGTCCAAATGCATCATACATAAGTGTTAGATTTAATGAAAATGGAGTTTTAGTCAAAAGGTCCCCCAGTTCTTTCCACTCCTGCAAATAAATAAATAAATAAATAAGTGGATAAAATAAAACAACTCATTAAGTTTAATCCGATACTGACAATTCTGTCATTTCTTTAATCACACCTCAGCAATATGTGTTTCATAACAAGATATCTTTCTCATTTAAGGGCTGACCTGAGGAGGCAGCAGGCAGTCATTTGAAAAAGGAATGAAACTTTTCACTTCAGATTGACTGAAGGATTGCTGAAGGATTGCTGGCTGACTCCAGAACACATTTTATGTTTTTTGTTTTTTGTTTTTTTTTTGCAAGAGGGAAAGGCTTCTATTCCATTTCATCAACAGACCAAGTATATTTTTTTCCCCCTTATGTGCTTTTTTCTATTGTTTGCTTCAGGCAGTGAGCCCCCATGTCTATGGATGAATAGGGGTAGAATAGGTCCACAGCTGCTGGGGATTTGAGCTCTGCATTGCTTAACCTGGGGCACTCACTGATATTTCTGCTGCCTCAGTTTCCCTATATATAGCGTGGGGCTGAAACTACAAAAAGCCTGTAATTGCCTTCCACAATTGCTGAAGGGCTATTTAATTAGCCTCTGCAGTGCTTTGAAGATCAAAAACTCCATGCAAGTGCTAATTATTATTATTACACAGACAAGAGCTAGAAGTTGTTAGCATTTTTTTTTCACCTATCTCCTTTTTATGATGTCTTATTTATCACAGATATTCCTGATATGGCTCCTCTTGTTAACACTTCTGATAAAGGACCCACATGAATCACTTAGCTGTAGAAATGCAAAGCCTGGCTCTTTTCAGAAAGCTCTGCTTTCTGTTGGAACACTATCCCACTATGTCCTCACACAGCCTCTCCATCCCTGCTGAGATCCTCTGAAACAGCAAAGAGAAAGAGTTCATGGTGGTCAATTCTAGCCAGCAGGGCATTTGTTGCCTGAAAAGGGGAGACTGTGCACTGAGAGGCTGACAGGATGAGTCAGAGTGGAAAATGTATGTATCTTCATCTAAGCTGTGTATCTAGATACTACTTGCAATCAAGGTGGGAGGGACAAAAAACTTCACATCGATTTTCCCATCCTTATGAGACTTTCCATCCTCGATGGCTTTTTTTTTTTCCTGTAAATACTTATTTCTCTCTACTTGAAGTGACTAGCATAGCTGCAGGAGTCTACCCTGCAGTTGTCTTCAAAGAAATAATATGAACTCTGGTGTTAATTTTCACTTTTCACTGTCAGAAAATTTCTAGAGCACTGGACAGTCACCTCCATACCAGCCATGTCATCACTGATAATGTTGTCTCTTGTAGGAAAACTCACTTTAAATAGTTTTACCATGAAACAGCACTCCAAATCCTAATTCCTAAGGTAATAAATAAGATGTGAGCTTTTCTCGCTCCTGACACAACTGTAGGTTTAACTTAAGTTTGGACCTAACATAGGAGCCCCATTCTTTAATCTCTCCCTTCATCATCAAATATTCTTCTGTGAACATCTCAGCAGCACCTCAGTAGGGCTGATGCCTGTATTTGGGTCAGGTCAGGAAAAAAGGGCTGATTTGGATAAACTTCCTTCACTTGGGAAATGAAATGGTGTAAAAGCAACTTATGTTTGTGATTTGGATATCTAGAGATCCTTAACACTGATAGCTCTTGGTCAAAAACTGCTATGTAACTTGCAACCTTATCCTAATTTCTCCAGTCTGCCACTGCTCATAGGAAATGCAGTTTCCAATGTCTGTTCCAGTGTCATAGTCCTGGTCATTCATTAGCTTAGGTCTCAGGTGATTTCTCTGCTGTGAAAAATGACCCTGTAGTAGCTCCAACCTTTCCTGATGTAATACTGTGGTTACAAGTTAATCGCTTTACAGCTGTGTATGAAGACAAGTTATTTCATTCTACTCACCCTCTCATCCTGACAGCTGCTTTCTCATGAAGAACCTACTGTCAGATCAATGCAAAGACCCACACTGTCCTCACTGGGCTTTATCCCAGGACTGTCTGCTCGTCATCTGTTGTCCTGGTACTCGAGTACAACCTTCTAGTGGTGTAACAGGAGATTTTATTACTCTTTTTGTTGTTGTTAACAAACCCTCTGAAGAGAACACTTGAAGCTTTGGTAGAAAATTACTGACTTGCCTGCAGTGGCATGAGTTTATGTCTCAATTTCTGCTATTTGAATTCCTGCTGTCCTTGGCATGCTCCTCAGAAGCCTATTAACAAAGTCAATTTTTCTCTTTAGGTGCCAGATGGATCTGTGGTAGCTTTGGTCTCCAAGCAAGTCACTGCCTACAATGCAGTCAACAACTCCACAGTCTCCCGAACCTCAGCCAGCAAATATGGTAAGGACCTGTGTGCTGGTATGGATCAAGAGAGCACTGCAGGAGAGATCTCAGACATCGTTGTGGTCGCAAGACACTGAGCAGTAGCAACAAAAATGATAGGCAGATGAATAGTTGACATGATTCTTTGGTGAATTGCAGGAGGAAAGGATTTAGTCATCTAAAACGTTGGGATCTGGTCCAAGCTGTTGAGCCAAATGGAATGCTCTTGGGAAGTACTTCTTCTCTCCTGTTAGATAATGGAGGAGCCTAAATAATTAACAGTGTACATTTCAGATCACTGTGGTCAGATGGAAAGCATCTCACTCAAAGTTTTCACAGGGAGAGGCAAGGGAGAAGCATTGCACTGTGTAAGAGCTCAGTCACTTTGGTAGGAAAGGTCTGTTGTGAAGAATCTATGGCGCAGATTAGAGGCCTCTGTGACTAGAAACAACCAAGGCAGAGGGCACTGCTTGCATACTGTTATATTTTAGTGTGAATATTATGTGTCTCATCCTGCTATTTTATTATCCCAAGGGAATTTACACCTGGAATAATACTAAAAACAGCTTGCTGAGGTCATTTGTCAGTGTATCTCAGAGCATTGCACTGTTCTTCCCACTTTACACATGAGACAACTGAGAATGAGACAGCTGTCACCCCAAGATGCTATGATGGCGTGGGAGGGCAAAGACAAATGTCTCTAATGTGCAACCAGAGTGTTGCTCCATCCATGATGCAGTTAGCGTATCAATTTACTATTACTTTTCCCTATGTATGAAGGCATCTTTGATCCTTCTAATTCCCTTTAGGCTTGAGGGAAAATACAGCTACTCAATGTCCAGAGGAACCCCCTTCCTCTTTCTCCAAGGACATAAGCAATCCAGCAGACCTTATTAATATTCATCCAGTTTGTCATGTTGTTGCAATTACTGAAAGACACAGTGACCTTTGAAAAGGAAGACTTAAGGGGGGTTAATTTCTCTTGGATTTCTTTAATTCTTTTGCCATTTGATTTTTCAGGGGGAGGGTGTGAGGAGGGATACGGGGGGAGGAGAAGACGTAGTGGGTCACAAGTGATTGTTAATTGCAATTAAGTAAACAGCATCCAGAGAGAAAAAGGATATTCCATCTAATAATTAATATGTAGAGATTGGTAGTGCATTAATAAGCTTGATTCAGATCTTGCTGTAGAAATGTGCAACACTCTTCTGTTAATCATGGTTGGAAAAGACTCAATTTGTAGCATTGCTAGCAGGGGGAGAGGAATGCCTCATGGCGTCACTCAAGGACAAAGGGAAGTACTGTCTATAGGATAAAAGTGTCTTTGTGGAGGTAATATGCGTGGGCCCTCTGGAGTTCTGGTTCACTTTCTATCAAAACAAGATTTAGAAGCAGAGACTGAAGAGAACAGTTGGGTAGAAGTTATTGGATTGCTTTGTTGCCAAAGGAGAAAGAGGAAGCGGCTCCTCCTGAATTTGGTGTTGGGGAGACAGGAAAGAAGTCACATTGGTTGCATCAATATTTTCATGCAAGAAGGCCCATGACCTGTTCTCTGACCATAAGGCCAAGAAGCTTGGTCAGGTATCAACCACACAGGTAAAATAAGCTGAACTTGCCCCTGCTTGCTACCATGAGTATTTGCTACTGTTCCCTGAATCCCTCCTTGGAAGTGCCTTACACTAGCAGTGCTAGTTGTCCAAGGCCAGAGGTTTGACAGAGAACATAATAAATGAAGAGCATGGCAACCGAAGGGCAGTGTAAGAGCTTCATTTAATTTACAGACATGATCATTATGTCCTCCTTGGCTCATATCCCTTGTTTTTGCTGAGCAAATCACTCAGTCATATTTGATAACAAGGCCTGGTCCATACACCAGTTCTGGGACCTTTTCTGGCTTACACTGCAATTCCACCAGGAGATACAACTCTTCTGCTTAATGTTATGAATTGGTCAATGGACATTTATTTAATACTGATATGGAAATATAGAGCTCACAAGAGGAGGGACACTGCAGTACGGTTACAGCAATATGTGCATCCCGTTCATATATCAGATGACAGAGGAACCAGTACTAAAACCAGCCAGCAGAAAGAGGTCTTCTTCTTGCCTTTCTGATGAGAAAGCATATCTCCTTGTTGAAACTCATTAATTTCAATGCAAGTGCTAATAGGGCTGACACACATGCATCTCTCTTTGCAGAAAACATGATCCGCTACACAGGCAGCCCAGACAGCCTCCGCTCCCGCACACCCATGATCACTCCTGACCTTGAGAGTGGAGTCAAGATGTGGCACTTGGTGAAGAATCACGAACATGGTGACCAAAAAGAGGGTGACCGGGGCAGCAAGATGGTTTCTGAGATCTACCTGACAAGGCTACTCGCCACCAAGGTATATGGAGGGAGAAGGGAAAAGGGTGAGGAATGGGCTTTTGAAGGCTGTAGTGTGACTTCTTGCCAACAAGAAATGAGAAACCGCTCAAGGAGTATCAAAGAGGGGATAAAAGAGCAGAAGGAACATAGAGCACTAGAAGTGCTCAGAGTGCAGAGGGAGGGAACTTAATTAAGAAAGCAAAGTCAGGAAAGGGACTTGAGAAGTTGAAGACTTGCCCCTAGGGCTGTTCTATGCAGACCCAGGTCGTTCTGTATGTTGTGATCTGTCTGGCTTTTCCAGAACAGCATTATTTGAGTGTTGGTAAGTTCTCCACCTAACTCCTCTTCAAAAGGCTTTATAAGAATATGGGCAGAAGAAGCTGTCTGTATATCTATCTGCTGTTCCACCCCTGGATCTCTTGGTGGTGGTGCTTTCCTTGGAGAAGCTTGCATTAGTGGAGAGGGCACAGTGCTTTTCTTTTGCATCACAGAAGGAATCAGGGCAGGTGGGGAGGCAGGCATTTAATCAGACAGATCCCTCTGCAGTCCTGCAATCCTCTCACAGTGCAGTGCATCTCTGTGCCCAAATTTCTCTGACACGTGAGTTATCTTGATGCAGCCCAGAAGTGGAAACTGCAGCTGTGGCTCAGGTGGGCTAATCAGTGTTATCTCACGCCATTCTGGGCAGGATTAAACTGAGGAAAGCCCAATCTTTCTTCCTTCTCTAAAGTTTTGACTATTATCATTTCCTGTCAGGGTGTCAACAGGCACAAACATGATTATATTTATTCATGCAAACATCATCTGAGCTTGCTGATCTGGCAAGTCTCCATTATATGTGTAAGTCCTACTGTAAGTTTTACCTGCACATTTTTTCCTCAGCCCATGGTGTCAGTCTCTTCTCTCTGCCTCACTCCATCTCTGTTGTGGTGGGATTCAAAGTACTTACATGGATCACATAATATAGCAAGAAAATGATGATCCCCAGAGCCTCAGTCCCAGATTAAACCAGTGGTCACTGGACCAGTGCTGATGTATACTATCTGGGGATATGTCCCCTGCTCTGACATTGAAGTGCTTTTGGTTTATTCCAGATCACAAATTCAACACTTGCTTTTTTTTCTTTTTTCTATAAAGATGGCTGGAGAACAGCTGCAAAACTTGCACAGTAACAGAAAGGCTGGTGGTTTATGGTTTCCCCTCTTGGGCTGAGCAATTTTCTATCATCATCGTGACCATTTGAGGCAGGGAAAGAGGAGAGAGACCAGTTGCTAGTAATACAATCCCAGGGAACACTTAGTTAAACTGACAATGATTTTTATTCTAGTAAATCCCTGACCTCTGAGACCTACAGTCTCTTGCCTAAAAGCTTCAGAGTTTTCTTTGCATTTGTGTGGGTGAGCATGTAGAGAACTAATTCCCTCTGGAAAGTGAACCCGAGGGCAGCTCTTCGATGTCAGAGCAACAAGATTTCCCCTCGGGGTCCTTTCTGAGTCAGAGATGCTACCAGGCTTTATTCACCCTGTAGGAGTTCACACAAGCAAAAGGCGCCTCTGTTTGTTTCCCAAAGAATGAATCAAGTGGTGAATCAGCAAGAGACACCAGCTTTCTAATTAAGTACTTGTTAATGCTATGTAAACTTGAGCCACTCTGATGGAACCTGGTATTTCATTTCTAGTAAAAAGGAATTTCTTTCCTGGGTCTGCAGAGAAAGGGAAGGATTTTATTTTTCAGCTGAGGAAATTTTGTATTGTTTTTGTTTTTGGCAACTATATGGTTTATCCACATATAAATGACCTTGCTGCTTTGATGGCAGAATCAATTTTCACAGGCTACCTCAGCTCCTCAACTGCCTCTTTCTCCAGGCCTGGGCAGCCTCTGCTATTTTAGCCCTTCATGTCATTACTGGAGGTCAGCTGTTCTCATCAGCTGGTCCAGAGTAGTTCTGTAAGCACATGAGGACACCATTGCAATCTCTGTAGCGGATGTTATCACAGAATCACAGTTTCAGGTTTGGAAGAGACCATCAAATCGAACCCCCCCTGCAAAAGCAGGTGCCCTACAGTGGGTCACACAAGAAGGGGTACAAACAGGTCTCCATACAGGTTGCCCACGTCTCTGGGCAACTTGCTCCAGTGTTCACCCTTAGGTAACCATTTTGTCCCTTGAGCAGTAACTGACATATCCATGCATTGTTCCTAGGGCTTGACTTGGTCCCATGACAGTGTGTAGTAAAATACAAGTAATTAAGATGAAGTTCTTGGTTTTTGTTATACTAATGCATAATGGACAGCCATCTTCTCCAGTCACTGTTGTCCTATTTGTGTCATTAAAACCTTATTTTCTTCTCTGCCTGGCTTCTATCCAGGCTTCTAGTTTGAGAATGGGCCTTGTATGAAAACCAGTATAGAAAATAGGTAGGTTTTGGCTCACATATACATCAAGGCTGTTGAGTTTAGGATGCAGAGAAGATAAAATTTGGAGGGAACAGGTGAGTGCCTTCCCATCACCGTCCCATCTTGAGATGGGATATGGTGTTCCACCACATTTCAGACACCTTCCCTGTGTGTCCGTAACAGAGAGAACAAGTAATATCTTCCCTATCCCATTCAGTTGTTAGCCATAAGTAACAGATATTATGAAGATGCAGATGTCAGACATCTCATGTCGTGTTTAACAGCTATTAAATGGTTCTTGCTTTTCAAGCATATTTCCTGAATCTGATTTATAGACACACTCTATTTTCAGTAGTATACCAAATTTAAACATCCTCTTCCTACTTGGTGTCCCATACTCTTCTCTCCTTCTCCCAACAGGGAACTCTCCAGAAATTTGTAGATGACCTCTTTGAGACCATCTTCAGCACAGCTCATCGTGGCAGTGCACTTCCCCTGGCTATCAAATATATGTTTGACTTCCTGGATGAACAAGCTGACAAGCACAACATCCATGACCCCCATGTGCGGCATACTTGGAAGAGCAATTGGTGAGTGAGACAGGTCTGTTACCAGGACCTTGATTAGAAGGAGAAGAGTGGGACGTGTGATTTAGGATATGGGTGGTGGGGAACGTGGGTTCAGCATGCCAGATTCAGTCCTCTCAAGCTGATGGAAGTGTATCCAAAAATCTAAAGGATGTTCTCAAGGGTAGAGTGCTTTGACTATAGATCTCAGTTTGTTCTATGTTACATGGGGGTAGTTGTATTTCTGAACGACCTCATGAGAATATAGGAGGCAAAATTGTAAAGTGTTTAATTACAGTAGTGTTCAGGCCCATAGGGATCTCTGGGGATTCATGTAAGAGCGCTTCTGTCTTCTTCTGCCCTGGGTGTTTGAACTCCCACTACAGTCACTGGGGGCCTAGAGTTACTTTTTGTTGCCTCCAGAGGCATCTAGTGCTGTATGAGACTTTTAAAGTGTACCAAAGGGAATATGCAGTGCCTACAGGAGACTTGCACCCTCCTGGGGTGTTAGATGGAGACGAGGAGATACCTTAAAGCATATGAAAAGGTATTCAGTACTTTGAGGGTTTGGAGTTGGATGTAAGTCTTTTTCAATGAGTGACAAAGGTTGACATTAGCTCACTGCTCTATTCAGCAGATAGAAACCCCTCACTGTACATGTAATAGGACAGCAGGGTAAAGTCAGTACTGGTGGAGGAAGGATCTTTGCAGCACCCCTCTGCTGAATGTCCCTGTTGGAAAGAGTCCCTGGGGAACTGTTCCCTCCCCTTTCTCTGTGCAAATACAGAGATTATGAAAGGAACAGCAGAGGAGAGCCATGGGGCTCCCAGCTCATGCATTTTTTTCCTTTTACCAGCCATGCTGATGGCAGGTCGTCACAGCGCTGTGACATAAAAAAAGAAACCCCATGCACCAAAGAGGCTTTCAACTAATGAAACATTAGCATATTATTAACATTATCTGCAGCACTAATCTAAGGCTGATTGCAGCCACTCAGACTAAATGAGCAGGAGGTTTATTTAAGGGGGGGAAAGGCAGAATGTGTATGTATTGGAAGGGGGGAACAGGGGCAGTATGAAGAAATCTGTTCAATCAGATTAAATTAACTCTAAGTCACATCATGGGCTTCATTATTCCCAGCGAGGGACATCATCCTCCCATCCCCTCCCCACAGCCATACATACGTGCAGGCTGTGGTTGTCCTCACTGTGGCTGTACTTAGTATACAAACAATCTCAGCATTTTGGCACAGTTCACTCATTCAGCTCTTCCCTTAAGAGATGAACCTCCATTCCCAGCCTAAAAGGTTTCCTTCCCACAACACCCATTAGGTCTCACTGCCAGCATCTCCCACTCCTGAACTTCTGTCCCCTCCCTAAACAAGGTTGGTTTGGCTGATGAGAGTAGCTGTGTGAGGCTCTCCTCACATTTGCTGGCTGAAGATACTGCATATTTGTTTAGGAAAATGTGGTACCATCTCTCTGTCACCTGAAGGGTATCAAATGCGGATATGAATTGTTTATGGTGCTATGAACATGTGAGGGTAATGAACAAATTGGAGGAACTTAAAATCTGAGGAATTTAGCCTGAATGTCAGATGAATTTTTTTATACTGAGGAGTTATTCATATCTGGGAAAATGCAAATGTTGGAAGTTACCTTACGAGTCTACCTAGCATGAAGACAGAGAGACAACAGTTTGATAATAATGACACATCTCAGCTCTTAGGCCATGATCATATGAATGCATTTGCTCTGACACAAAAGGCTTGAGGCAAAAGCTGGAGGTAGATACCTCAGGACATCTGACACAGATGAACAGCTCTTTTAAGTATGAGGGGGAAAAACGAGAGGAAAGCCTTTGAATTGCAATTGGAATAGCATTTCTACGGTTAGGGCAGATAAATTTTCATTTCAAAGGTTGCAACACTTGTTCCCCGTTCTTATTTTTCTCCTTGTGGCAACAGGGTTTTCTCTGCCACATAATAACTGCTTTATGCCCAGGGTATTGGGATCATACACAAGCTTGGACTTGAGCTGTGCAACTGAACAGTACATGGCACACAGCGCCTGTCAACCTGGCAGCTGTACCTACCTTTCTTCCCATGGTATTACCATGAGGCTAAAAGCCAAGTGGTAATTGGCTTTTAGCCTCAAGAGTGCCTGTTGCTTACCATAACTTGTGCGAATGAGATGTTTATTCTCATGTGATGAAGCAGCCAACAGCAGCTAACCTCACATTTGCACACTAACATAGAGAAGTGAGGAGGTATTTCCATCACCTCGAATATACTTTCATTAATATAATCTCATTAATTTATGTGCAACCTCAGTAAGATGACTGTGACTTTAGGAGTGACCAAATTGGTTTGTGAGGATAATGGGGACAAAACTCATTCCTGCAGTGACTCTGTTGTGCACCCTGGAGTCCTACAGGGGTAGATCTACCCCTACAGCGTAGATTTATTGTATGTCAATGACAGAGTTGATATCCCAGAATCCCTGTCTTCATGCCTTGATCTTTAATTCCTATCCACCAGTCAGCTTTGCAACATCATAAGACAAAGCTTATGAAACTTGCAATTTCTGACTCGCCTTTTCCACATTTCTCACCTGACAGCCTACCATTACGGTTCTGGGTTAACATGATCAAGAACCCACAGTTTGTCTTCGACATTCACAAGAATAGCATCACAGATGCCTGCCTCTCTGTAGTGGCTCAGACATTCATGGACTCCTGTTCAACCTCAGAGCATCGTCTGGGCAAAGACTCACCCTCCAATAAGCTTCTGTATGCCAAGGACATCCCCAGCTACAAGAACTGGGTGGAAAGGTGAGTTTTGGCTCTAGAAATGGGAATAACGTAAGTAAGTTGTAAAATGAAGCCTTGCATCATGGATGGAGGTAAGAGGTATCTTCAGTATTGAGTTTGGTAGCTGCTTCTGGGCTTTTTTTCTTTGATTAATGTCCATGTAGAAAGCTCTGTTTGCCATTTATTCCCACATGCTGTACAGCGCATATAGAAATTTAATTAGAGGTGTGAACTGAAGGTGTTTGCCATCACTGTTTCTCTTGAGGGGAAACTGTTGAGAAGAGGGAGGGAAGGAGGAAGGGAAAGTGTCTGCATCTGAGTCCTGTGAGCTTTGTGGACTTGTTATTCTTTCCGTACAGACCAGAAGAAGGAGTTAGTTTCTCCCAGCATCATTGTGACAGTCCCCACACTGCCTTGATCTCAGGGGTCACACAGTTATCATCCCGTACTCTGAGTCCAGTAGCTGCCCATGGCAGCTCTTCTGTAATTTGGATGCCATGGAATTGTCAGATTAGTGACTGACACTCTGCAGGCACTTTCTGAAAGGTCAGAAGTCTTTCTGAGCATTTTATACATATCTGCGGGAACCTGCAGTTTTACTGTTCAATTTACTGCACTAAAGTTCATTCTCTGACAAAGCTACTCTACAGGAAATACAACTAAGACAACTATTCCTACAATACATAGGGATTTCAGTTCCTCTAAGATTCTCTGCAGGATGAACAATAGCACATCTTGTACTCCTTTCAGCAAGACATTGTCTGCTGGAACAAGCCTTGCAGAAGCTGATCTGTGCTTTGTTTTCCAATATGTCACACTTGCCTGGCATTATTGACAGGTTTGGGAACTGCACAGACGGAGAATGATCGCTGTTCTGTAAATATAACGAGGGGTTTATCTTACAGATCATTCCTGTACAACAGCATCCCATGTTCAGCAGTGATTTGTCTTGCTTGACTTCATAGGCATTGACTAAAACTGATGTCACCATGCAGGTAGTATGAGACCTTTTCTGCAGTAGGCATACTTTGCTGTAAACCAGTCTATCCTCTGGTGGGTAAGATTTTCTCTAATTTTGTGAAAGCAGAGCACAGCTGATGAAAGAGCTCTGTACTCCAGTCAGCATGAGGTGAATTTCCTACAATAATGCTCCCATTGGTTTCTGATTTGTCCGGACAATTATTTTTAGATGTGGTTAAACACTTCTGCAAATGTCGTTTCTAGGCAACCTGTAAGGCTCTTAGAAACTACCTTGCTTAATTATGACCTACTTCTAGTACTGTGTCCAAGTTTCTTGACATGTATTGAGATTGATTGCTGGATTGACCTGGATAGGTGGAAAGAAGTGTTTGAGATTTATTTAGAAACAGTAGATTTGCACTAGCAGTGACCCAGCAGTGTCATATTCCTGTAACCTGTGTAGTGTATGTAGTTGATGGGTGGTTCATAGAACCACAGAGTCATTTGAGCTGGAAGGGACCTTGAAAGGTCAGTTAGTCCAATCCTTTTGCAATAAATAATGACACTTACATCTCAATCAGGTTGCTCAGAGCACTGTCAACACTGAGTTTGAATGTCTCTAGGGACGGAGCATCCACTACCTGTTCCAGTGCTTCACCAATCTTATCATATATATTTTTTTTTCTCCTACCCAGTCTAAATTGACCCTCTTTTAGTTTGAAACCATCTCCTATTGTCCTATCACAACAAAGCTTGTCCCAGAATACTGACCCCTGTGGGACACAACATGTCACTGATCTTCACTCAGACATTGAGCCATTGTTCACCACTCTCTCTGAGTACTATCTCAGAACTAGATCCCCTCCACTGAATAGTTCATCCATCAAATCCATATCTTTCCAATTTAGAGAGAAGAATATTGTGGGGGAACCCTGTCAAAGGCCTTCCTGAAGTCAAGATAGATTACATCAGTGGCTCTTCCCTTGTCCATTGTTGCAGTTACACCATTGTAGAAAGCTACTAAGTTGGTCAGGCAGGACCATAGCTTGGTGAAACTATGGTGCTTGTCCTGTATCACCTCCCTCTCTTCCATGTGTGTTAGCGTAGCTTCCAGGAGGATATGTTCCACAGTCTTCCTTGGCACAGAGATAAGGCTGACAGGTCAGTACTTCTCTGGGTCATCCTTTCTACCCATCTTAAACATGGGTGCACAGTAGCCTTTTTTTCCCACTCACCAGGTACTTCAGCTGATCGCTGTGACTTTACAAATATTGTCAAGAGTGGTTTGGTCAGTAGATGAGCCAGTTCCCTCGGGACTCTAGTTAGGATGCATCTCATCGGGATTGATGGACCTATGGATGTTCAGGTTCCTCAGGTGGTTGCAAGCATGATCTTCACATAGAGCTGGAGGGGCAGTGCTCCCCCCATCCCCACCTTCTGAGCCATCTGCTTGAGGGATGTGTGAAAAGAAGTTGCCAGTGAAGGCTGGTTTCTTACTTACAGCTCTGCTTGACTTTATACCCTTGGAGACAGCATGCTTTAGTGAAGAACTGACACATGAGTGAAGAACAGGATATTAAGATTTTCTGGAGCTCAATCCTGTTGCCCAGTGATCTTCAGTAATACCTGTTGAATTTCTCTGAGTTTTCCTGAGCAACAAACAAGGTACATAACACCTCCTGTTGCTAGTAAACAGCACTGCATTTCTGGGCACAGCATGTATTGGGTTATTATCTGCAGTGATGTCTGAAAAACTGTACTAAAACCTAAGGGGAGACCATGACTTTTGGAATATGGTTAGAGCTTCTGCCCTATTAATTCTTTTGTGTGTCAGTGCTACAGTCTCAAAGCAGTGGCACCTGGATGCTGTTGTAGATCAAAGAAAAACTTACTAAGAATGAACAGAATATAATTTTATTTCGTCTTTGAGTTAATTAATTCCTTTTCTCCATGCTGCAACTGTACTCCAATGGCTTTCAGTACTGGTGTGAGTTCTTTCTGTAGTCAGTGCCAGCTGGAGGCAGCATCATTCAAGACCACTAGACTTCTTCAAAGACTGAATCATAACTTAAAAAGATTTTCCATCAGGAAGTGTAAGAAGTGGTTGAGTAAATCAGAAGAACCTGAAATCAAATGAACTTATTTGATGAAGAAGAATCTGTAAGAGGGCAATTAGGCAGCAGTGAATTGTAACCCTTCTTGAAGGCACACTAGAGTAAAAGCCATCTCTTCTCTTTTATCATGGCTGTTCAGATGGCAGCTGAGCTGGGCTACTCCAAGCCATCTCTTTGCAACTACTGGTTTTTCAGTGTGGAGTGTGTCTTTAGGACTCACAAAACTCAAAGCAGGCAATTGTCTTAGGACAAGAAATAGCAGAGAAAGCAGCAGACATAAGCAGTCTCCAATTCATGTTAAAATATATTTCCAACTTTTTAGAGGGTGAAAAGGAAAAGGACATAATGCAGTTTTTGGCCTCACTAATGGTCTGCCTTTACACACTGGTCAACCAGGAGTTTGATTTCAGTGGTCTTTTTCAATGCTATTGGAAGCAGAGCTGGATTCTGTCTGCTGAAGCAAACTCACTGAGATATCCTGACCAGTAAAATGCAAGTGCAGCATTCAAATGACCTTTGAAAATGCATGATTGAAAAGCACCTAGGCAGAGCCACAACTTGGGATTCTTGCAGCAGAAGATGAGATGTGGGAGAAGCAAGAGAATTAACTCAGGAAATGGGGATGTACTATTTAGTTTTTGTTGAAGCCATGAGAAGTCACTCTGTGGCTTTAAAACAAGGTGGCAGCTTTTAAAATATCATGCTTTTGTCTATTGAGAAAAAGGGGAAAAAATGGGAAAGATAGACCAGATTCTCATCTGACTTCTGTTAGTAAAACTCCATAGGCTTTGCTGAATTTACATTAGAGCAGCTTTAGATCTGCATCTTTTCAAGTTTACTTCAAATGTCCCCTTTGAGCCCAGAAATCTGGAGAACTCGGGAGCATTTGATGCAATCCCCAAGCATTACAAAGTGGAGCCTGTTCTAATTGTGACTGTCTCATTAGCATTCAGCGCCACACTGAAAAGATGACAAAGGGCTGAGGCTGACCTTTCATTTCTCTCCATGCTGCCAAGCTTATGATAACACTTGTTTGAACTTCATTAACACCATTTAATTGCTTGCATCACAATCAATACGATGCTTCCCCACTGAAGCCTGGCACATAGGCATGGATGTAGGAGACTGCAAAGGGGCAGAGCACAAAAAGCAGAAGGCAGTTTTTTCCATTGCACACTGGTGCCCAAAATACCTGCAGTGCTGCAAGAAGAGGAATTGGTGCTTTTTTCTCATCCCTGTGGGTATTTGGTCAAGTTTTAGTGTGAGTTAAAAATAGTTCCATAAAGAAAAGCTGGACTTCAATGGAGACACTGCATATATTATTAAGACTCTGAAAATCTTTTAATCAAGGAAGTTCAAAATAGATTTGACATGTTTCAGACTAAAAGAAGTTTAAAGTGACCTTATCAATAGGATTCAGAGTTAAAACATCTGCAGTTCATTATGTTAACCTGAACACAAACACTACCCAACCTAACTACTGGGACCTGGAGCCTGTGTTTGTGATCTCTTTTCCTTCCTTTTCTTGAAGTAGCCATGTTTTGCATGGTGTTAACTATCTGATGTCAAAGTCTTAAGCTCCCTCAAAAATGCTGTGGGAGCTTGTTTGGAGTATGCAGAATCAATAGTCTGGTCCTATTTGGTATCTAAACTTATATCACTTTTCAGCCTGTGATGTCAGACTGCAGTCAATAGATGGTCACTGCCAGTGCGGCCATTTTGCAACAACTTTTGGTGACAAAGACAAAATGTACCAATTTAGTAGAATACAATACACTACACACACCCCAACACTGTAAAGGAGTGAGATTTTTAACAGATATAACCGGGTGACCTTTTAACTCCAAAGGCTTTAAAAGAGAGCATCAAATAACAACTGGAAATGCTTGCTCTACTTTAAAAGTAGTCTTGTGCATCTCTTTTCCCTGATAGAAAGAGGGCTAAAGG